TGAAGATTAACATAATCTCTGTTTAATCTTTAAAGAAATGGCTTATTGCAATTATTTCCGCCAAGTCTTTAAACTATAGTGCCATTCAAAATGAAGGGATTGTAAATGTAGATTTGTATGACAGCTGATGATGCATGTAAAAACCTTTATTCATACAATATATACATTAGTGTTGGAGGAAGTTTCTTATGCTCACCAAGGAAGCATTTACTTGATCGAAAACACAGTAAAAAAACAGTAAAAATATTTCAGATTCTTACAGTTTTCAGTGTCACTCCAGATTCTTCAGAAATCATGCTATTTTGGTGTTCAAATTAAATGGAATTTAAACGTTTATAGGCCCGCTTACACCAAGGACAATAACGCCAACAATAAAAATATAGTTTTAAAAATTGTTCTTAATATAAAAGAATAGCTTGTAGCTTTTTAGCCAATCAAAATCTATCCTGCTTTAAAGAGCTCAAGCATTTAAAGCGCCAGGCGACAAAACACAATGCAGGGCACACTTAGAAAAAAGCAGAACGTGATAGTGGGCCTTAAAACAGCTGTGCTTCTTTTCTATGTGGAAACCGTATACATTCTTTGTTACATGATCTTTTGATGAATAGAGAGGTCAAAAGAACATAATTTATTTGAAATCTAATTTTGTCACTTTCGCCATATATCTGTATGCAATTAACATATTAAGGAAAATGATGTCAAGACAACCTGTTATTCTCATTTTATCAGAATGAGTAATCGGAGTCATCTTTCTCCTTGGTCACTGTCTGACCTAATATCACAAAAATGCACTGTGAAAATGAATGCGCTTTATCTAAGCAAAAACAGTGGCAACAGATTACAAGCAATATTATTAATTCAATTTAACAATGGAATTGAGTGATAATGAATCAAATTAATTCCTTAAAAGTTAACCATTTAAAATGAGTAAAACGTACAAAAAAACCCCAAAAACATACATTTAAGTCACCATTATGGTGATCAGTGTTTGTTTTAGGTTTGTTTTAAAATGGAGGTTTTCTCCTTCAGTGATTTCGCTTGTAAACATCAGGTGCCTTCAATGTTGGCAATTTAAAATAGAGTTCTTAATTAATCTTTGACGTCTGTCTGTTATTCAGATATTTTTGTTCATTTTTTTTGGTGTAAACTTTACTCATTTTAAATGGTTAACTTTTAAGTAATAATTTGATTAATTATAACCCAATTCTGATTTGCTTGTAATCTGTTGCCACAATTTTATTGATTAGATTCATTTTTACAGTGTGGTTGCTTATTCCTTCTCCACTGTTTACAGGCACTTGGCAGTAGCAAACTTGAGAACTTAATTTAAGAGGATATCTGGTGGATATTTCTAGGTGAAAGTTTACAGGGAGGCAGATGAAAAGCACACATTTCAAAACAACTTCAGGGAAAGAGAGAGAGGCTGAGTACATGACTCAAGCTGAAAAAAAGACAATATTTATATAGCTGACATGCTTGAAACTTTAAATAACAGGTAAATTAACAAGGCAAAAGACGCAGTCACATTCCGGGTCGGTTCAGGTGACAATGCACAGCCAAAACACCTGTCCTAAAGTTTCAGCACACGTTTATCAAGAGAAGCTAGAGAGTTTAGAGCCAAGTTTCAAATGAAAACTTGAGGCTGAAGGGGTGGTCTTTCTGGTTGAAGTTCCAGTAACAGTTTTGTTATTCAGAGAGGTATGGGGGATGGAGAGCGTTGAAAAAGCACAGCAGTATAGCTTCCCGAGTAGAAATATCAATCTTTCTCCTTTTAAAGGCTTTATAATGCCCTCTTGAACTTATTTTACATCCTGATTTAGCTGATTTTGCATATCAAAAATCAGATTCAGTTAGATTTTCCAGATTGTGTTGCTCAGCACTATTTGCATTTATTATTACACAATAGACAAAGCACATAAAGTTTAGTGTTAAAATAGTTTAGGGAGAGTTTATGTCGCTTCCTGGTATATAAGTACGACCAACTTACGAGTTAGCAACTGCCCACACACAAAAAAATTGTGGCCAATGGCAAAAAGATTACAGCTGGGGGAGGGAGTCACTTCAGCGGTCCATATTCTATCACATGGGTGTTTTTGTGTTGCCTCATGGCCTGTGAATGTTACACCTTGGCACATAGTAAAAGCCCACAGGGAGGCAAAGTGGTGCTGGAAGGGGAACTCCCATCACAGCGGGGTTCCTGTACCCTTCCCACACAACTTTTCCCTCCAAAAAACAGCCCATCCTTCGGGCAATCAGATGTAGCCATTCAATTCAGCTGACGAGGGGTCTCTGTTGAAATAGCTTAACTGGTATGTACATTAAATGTACTTTAAAACAGTCTCACAAGAGGGTAAGATCAACATCCTTTGCTTGTAAAAGGCCAAAACAGAGTCCTTCCTCCCACTTGAGCTGAAAATGCCAAGTTTTATCACTTGAGTACTTTAGTTTATAAACCAAGGGAGCTCACGTGCCTCTGGAGTGTTTATGTATACAAAAATATATAGCCATGGTTAATGTCATTTAACCGCATAAGGAGGACACAGTATAAACACATCAATCCGAGCAGCTAAACACCCTGATATTTTATTGTTACATAGAGTTTAATTAATTGGAAACGTGCTGACGGTGGACAACTTGTTTAAGATGTGCTCCGCTGGGTGGCTGGAGGGTGTGGGATGGCCAAACCCCCACCAAGCAGAGTTCCTGGGAGGTTCGCACCTCCGGGAGGGATGATTATCCTGTCAGGAGCATCTTCACAGCAACCTAACAGGATCATTTTAAACCCTTCAGTTGTTTTCATAGCCTCTATGGGAACGGCCATTCCAAATGGTCAGGGGGGAATGAAGCAATGCTACATGGGAAATAGTATTTGAATAACAACAAGATCTCTGAACTCTGACCTTTAGGTTCCATTCGGGCTCAAGCAGGACTTTAATACGAGTTAAGCCTGCAATCGACTGCATTTGTAGCATAATGTTAATATTGATAACAAATTTTGACTCTTCCTTAGTTTTTCTAAAAAACAAGGTTTCAATGAGACAAAAGAAGGAGGCAAAATAAGAACCAGCAAAAGGGGCCAATGCAGGATTTAAAAACAGAGCCAACAGAAAGATTCAAAGTTTAGATTTTTATAAAATTACTTTTTCTGGTTAAAACTTCTTTGAGCTGTAAAGCCGTTCTAGTAATTTTTATGGTTGTTTTAGGTTGCTGTGGGAACAAAGTTGTAAACTGGATATTCACTGCCATTGAAAAGTTTGGGGTCAAAGTTTTTCAAGATATTTTTTGAAAGGAATTAATACTATTATTGACCTGAAGTGTCAGTATAGACACTTTTGCAAAAAACTTTAAGCAGCACAACTGTTTTCAAGATTAATAATACAAAGAAATGTTTCTAGAACACCAAATCAGCATTTTAGAATGATTTCTGTTTGTGTTGATTAATGTAACGTAATGTAATGTAAATTTAGATGTAATGTAAAAAATTTAGCTTTGCCATCACAGAAAAACACACGTTTTACAATATATGAAAACAGAGAACAGTTATGTAAAATTGTAATTAAAAAAAATCACAATATAACTGTTTCAAATGCATTTTGTATAAATTCAGACAGAAAAGTAAGCATTTTTTTATAGTCATGATAAGACAAATATTGTTCGCATCTTGTGGCTATACTATACACTCTTAGAAAAAAGGGTTCATTGGGGTTCTATTTATGAAGCATAGGGTTCTTTACTCAACTCCAAAGAACCTTTTATGCTAAAAAAAAGTTTCTATAATGACAAAAAAGAACCCTTTTGGCACAAAGGTTCTTCATAGGCTATTATTCATTCATGATTCTGCAACATTTTGTAGTCGACTCGTAATTAAATTATTGTTTATTAAACTGTTGTAGTAACTTAATCACATTTTAATCATGCTGATTTTTGGAGGAGAAACACTGAAATGGCACTCTTCGTGTGATATTGATTAACTACATAAAATTATATAAATACATACATCTTCTAACCCCCATATCTTGAATTGTGTGATCATTCACATGCATTCATAAATACATGTATAGGGGTTCCAAATACGTAGCGCTGATGGAACCTTTTAAGGTTCTATTCTTCTAAAGAGCGTAGTTACATTCACTCCGCACCAGATTGCCTCACTAACTCAGATTTTAGCTTTAGCTTTTTTTGAAATTATTTTCTGTGGCAATCAACAGACATGCTGTCATTTAAGTACTGAACACAGAGTATTAATTTAAGCAAAAGTTAGAGGGGAATCTGTGTTCTTAATCACTGTTGATAGTTGTTTTCAAAAGTAAAGGGAATGTTTCACTGTGTGTAAACACAAAGCAGCATGAGCTCAAATAAATATGGGTGGTTTCTCTTTCTTTTTCCCAAACGGGTAAACTCGAATAACGACTCTTAACCCTTGTCTATGCAACAGGCAGCGAGTTCCTATAAGGAAATTGCAGACTATTTAAATAACACAGAGGTGGCATGGAAAACAGTTCCTCAGAATATGTAACAGTTAGTGGAATCATAGGAAAAGGTAAACACAGCAAAACAACAACAACAAAAAATAGTTTTGTGGTCCATAAAATAACAGACGAGAGTAAGATCTAGTGTGATGGATGTTCATAACAGCTGTGCCCAAGAAATACTAACTGATAAAGGTTCACTTGCCTTCTTACTCTGTACAGGTAAAAACAATATATATTTCCTCTTGAAATACTGTATTTATTTACAGTATTTAAACTATTAAAATAAAATTATTGATTCAACTACGGTATGTAATTTATGGTGGTGCTCTGAATTCTGCAAAAGAGCTCAGATAAAATAAACTCACTCCATCCAGTTAGTGAGTTGAACCTGTATGCTAGCTCTCAGACATAAACTGCTTTGGATAACAAGATATCCTGACAAAAACTGGAACACAATCAAATGCTGACCCGCCAAAAAGCGAATGAAATGGATTAGAATAATCCCTTAAATGACCCACAACAATGGTGGCCAAATAAGATCTGCTTTAATAGCTGAATAATGCATTGATTCTCTATACTCCTTTAAAATAAAATCTCTGTATGTTTTTTTATTCATCATGTTTTTTATTCATAATTTATTCAGGTTTTTTTTTTCAATTCATCAAATCAGGATTTGAAATTATAATTTAATTAAAACAGCTTTTATCTTGACTCTTTAGTATAAACACATGTCATATAATGGTAACATTTTACAATAAGGTCATATTTGTTAATGCATTGACTAACAAAGTAACAATGAGCAATGTATTTTCACAGAATTTATTAACCTTTGTTAATGTTCGTTTATAAAAATACAGCTGTTCATTGTGCATGTTAGTTCACAGTCCATTAACTAATGGTAACAATCACAACTTTTGATTTTAAAAAAATTTATAAATGTTGAAATTAACATTAACTATGGCTAATTAATGGTGTAGAAGTGAAGTATTGCTCATTGAATGTGAAGTATTCAATGAGCAATAAATGTGAAGTATTGCTCATTCTTGGTTCATGTTGACTAATTGTACCAAATTGGAACTCGTTCATATTTAAAATACTAATGTTGTATCGGTTTCCACAAATTGGTACACATGTCCCTCTAGTGGCAATTTAAGGTCAGAAACAGTGAGGAAAAACCAACGGATATAATTTTAACTGTAAAATTAATATAGAAAAATAATAAAAGAAATATTAAATTAGAGTTTGTGGATGGAAAATGTATCTAACAAACTATTATAAGTAACAGAAAGATATAGTGTAGTTAACAATACAAATACTACCAACAATACGCTTATGGTCTGGTTTTCCAATCTTTATCCTGTTTCAAAGGAAGACTCTGGTGAGTAAAAGAAATAGAGCCATAAAACACAGACACAGACAGAACTATGCCAGTTATGTAAAACATGTATAATATGCATGTGCCATAACATGAACCATTACCTCTGCGTCATCTAGTCTCTGCCAGAATCTCTTGACAGCTTCTGTAGACTTCAACCAAACAATTCAGCCGAGGCTTTGAACTCTGACGGAAGAATGCAAAGTGTTAATTTGAATGAATGAATGGGGCATTTATAGATGCCATCCTTTCATACAGCATCACAGAGTGATTCCTATACAGCTGCTTCATACCTGGAATAGAGGGACTACGCTTGTCACAGTCTCAGGCTCTGCCGGGTCCTTGATCAGAATGCACAGATAGTATATGATGCTGTGCTGAGGTGGAAACATAGAAGAAGTGATTATTTTTTACACATGATTTTGATTTGACATGATTTCTAGATAACAAAGTCCATCATGCGCGAGAGTCAAATAGTTTGTTTACCATATAAACGGCCTCGTTGATGACAATGTCTTTCAGCTTGCTCATCTCAATGAAGGTCGTGCTTTCTCGTCCAGATGCGTAAGATGAAGACAGTTGGATACCGAGGGAGCCGATTATAAGAAGAGTCTCATGGTCCACCTTTACAAAATGAATGTGAATCATCATCCCACCCAGCGTGAGGATGATGGCACTCGACAGGACAGCAGTGTTCTAGGCATTAATAAAAGTCAACAAAAGTCAGTATTACAATCTTATTTTAGTAATATAAATATGCTTACGAGTTCATATTATTTGCATTATAAAACGTTCTTACCTCGGTGAAGAAAAATATAGCATAAGCAAATAACCATATAAAGCAGGTGCACACCATCACCTTGCGCATAGACAGTTTCGGTGACGTGACAGTAAACTCTCTGCAGAAACCGGAGTGAGTTTGGCAGTCTAAAGAAATCGAGTTGCCATTTATGTCTGTGAACTCTTCCCCAGACATAGTTATCTCGCTGTCAGAATATTATGTGAATGAGGACTTGATTTTAACTAGCTTTGTGTGTCATTTGTCAACAAGCAATGAAATTTTCTTCTTACAGTATGGCGGTGGCAACTTCATATAAAGATGCATTTCCGCCACCTACTGGACTGGGGTTTGGAGGAGAATCGTGGTTGACCTAAATTGTTATTTTACCTACTGTATAATAATAATAATATATAATATATAATAATATATAATGGGCCATTTTGTTTGTTTTTGTTTTTTGTTTTTTTGTTTTTGTTTTTTGCTATAATTTGATTTTACGTGAATGAAAATGAGGCTGAAGAAGAGATGGGCAGTTAATTGGGTTGTAGCAAGGAAGGATCTAAATTACCTTGAGAGCATGGTTGTAATGTAGCTACATTGTGGGTGTCAACCATTTCTTTAAAATAGCCTACGTTTTCAAAATAAATAAATAATAATAAAAATAACCTGTGAACAAGATTTATGTAGGCTATCATGTTGAATTTTCACAACCAACTCAATAATGATTTGAAAGTCTGTATGTCTGGCACAGATCCTCACTTTTCAAATATTGTCTACCCTGAACATACTACAATGTCAATGACTTATATAGTGAACATGAACCTTGTGAAAAAGAGAAAGCACTTTAAACTTTAGCATAGCTAGCATAGCATGTTCTTTTTTATCATAATATCTGTCGACCAGACCTCTCCTTGTCCTAACGCTTAAACTTAAACTAAATTCATGTCATCATGATAAATGTAGTAAATGTTGCTTGTAAAGAATGGACTCTATTTCCCATCTGGCATTGCGTTTGGTAACCTTCGACTGCAGCTACAGTGAAAACAAGCCGATCAGCTGATCTGACCTGGCAACAACATTCACCCGAATCTACCGGGGAGTGGAATCGTTTTACAAGCTGGTGGGGAAAAACAGTTATCTTGACATTAACTGGCTTATTAATTTGTGTTTATTAAAGAGTCGTTGTCGTGTGCGATGTTTCAGGGAATTCAGCGGCTTATTTGATGAAGACTGCGGTGCGATTCTGGCTCGAAATCAGCTTGTTTTGTTCGGTCAAAGCTGTGTTGATCAATGTGTTGTTGGGTGAACATACTTTAAGGACAGTCTGTACGATACTAAATAATAATTAATTCAGCTGCAGAAATCATATTTCTAACCCCCTAGTATCTGTTGTCTCTGAAATTGGATGATATTTTATAGACGTATGCTAATCTTAGTTAGCTTGAGTAACAAAAGCCCTGGACGATAACAATACTCGAATGTAGCTGCATGTTTTATTAGTGTTTACGTCTGTCAATAAATACATTTCGATTGTAGTTTGTGACTTTAGACACTTTAGACTGCTTGGTCACTTTTACATCAGCCAGAAAGCTAGACTTAAGTCTGACTTAGTGCCAGTGCTATACGGATGTCAACTGATCTATTTATAGTTCATATTGAATATTTGATTTTAAGCCAGTGTCATAATTTGACAACACATTTAGAATTCCAATGAAATTCAAGGCAAACGAGTAAGATATTTCGTTTAAGAAGAACTCAAATGCATCATTCATCACATCCCTTGTTGATTTAGCTTGGTCTCTGCTGTAAGTTAGTTGGTACAACTTTCTGAGGGATAACCAGTCGGTATAATTACAGAGAGCTTTTAGTACTTTAAACTCGGTTGTTTCATTTCGGTGTGCTACCTCGCTATTATATTTAAGTTAGACGTATAATAATGAGTGGTCAGGGCTCTCCAGCGGAGAAGGGGTTGAACGGTGTCCTGGTTTGTCAGGAGAGTTACGCCTGCGGTGGTTCTGACGAGGCCGCCTTCGAGTGCGATGAATGCGGCAGCTTGCAGTGTATGCGCTGCGAGCTGGAGCTCCACCGCCAGGAGCGCATGAGGAACCACGACAGGATCCGAATCGCACCTGGCCACGTACCCTACTGCGATGCATGTAAAGGAGACGGTGGGATTCCGAACGGGGGTCGGCTGAGAGCAGTGGTCCGCTGTCAGGGATGTAAAATCAACCTGTGTTTGGACTGTCAAAAGCGGACTCACAGCGGGGTCAGTAAAAGAAAGCACCCTATCACTGCCTACCCTCCCTGTAAACCCGCGGAGAAGAACTGCAGCACTGGGGATGAACAGCTGGATGCGTTGAAAGCTAAACTGGAGAAAGTCATCAGCTTTCTTCTGGTGGATGAAAAGGAAGACATGCAGGTAAGTCATCTGTTAGAGGCTGCTCCAAGTGGTACTTGACTGCAGAATCAAGTGACGTCCAGCTCCTCTTCTCTGGATGTCTAATGGGGTGGAGGGATAGAGGTGTAGGGTGTGGTTGGATATTCTAGCTCCACCCATTTGGCCCAAATAAAGTGGTGCTGGTGTGACGTCAATTTGTAGGCCAACTGGCTGTTAGCATCACGCTGTGGTTTTGTCCATGACAACCTTTATGAATTTTGAAGCCCAAATGCAGTCGTCAGAAGCAAAAAGCTAAAGGTAGGCTATAAACTCAACACCACGGTCCCATGAATTCTACATCACAACCACCAAGCTTACAGTAACTCTTTCAGTTCTCCCAGAACGTTTGAGTTAGGATAGTTTGTAAGTGCACAATTATAACCATAATAGTGCTTTATAAGCCAACTGAGCTGACCTATTCGGCGTCATCTCCTCGACAGCCTTTGTACTTCCATTTAGCCATAACTGCCTTATTCAAGGCACATAACAGCTTAAAAAAAATCACGAGTGGGGGAATATTGATGTATGTTGTAGAATAAAACGTGAAAGTGCCTTGAGCTTGTGTTCACCACAGACCTTATGTCAGCCATTTAACCAAAACCCCATTAAAAAAAAGACTCCAGGATGATGCTCACTGCAGAGCAAATGGGTGGAGCTTAAGTCTAGCTCCGCCTCGCTACACGTCAAGTGAGGAGTAGTGAATTTAATTAGGGCCTAATGGGTGGAGCTAGAATACCAACAACACCTAAACCCTGTGTTATGCTTCTGCGTTGAATCGTAGGCGTACCGTACACCCGCAGGTCCCTCCGCCATAGCTCGATGATGTGCACCTCCATATAATTTTAACTATGTGTCGAAGCAACGCAGACTGCAAGGGCTGTGATTGGTCAGATCAGTTCCGGAGTGTAGCTTTTCTGGTTTTCTTTCAAAAAGAACGTGATTTTAGCCAATGGGGAACCCTCTCCCTGGAATGCGATTTCACCCTAAAGCAACCCCCCATTTGATGTCCAGTTCCCCCTCGCTGGACATAACAGGTGGAGCTAGATCACACCAATCACATCCCATAAAGTCCAGAGAGGAGGAGTTGGACATCATTTGGCTCTGCAGTGAGCACCACTTGCATCATGCTTTCTTTTCTTTTCAAACTACAAGTTGGCTTATTGTTTTATGTTACTGTGTGATATTGCGTAAGTATATGACTTATGTTTATTTCCTTAACCGGAACAGCTGAAGGATGAGGAGGAGTTTGTGAGGAAATTAGGCTGCAGGGCTGAGGAGCTCTTGAAGGTGGTGTCCATTTTCGGCAATACTGGAGAGGGCAAATCCCACACCCTCAATCACACTTTCTTTCTGGGTCGTGAAGTGTTCCAGACATCCCCAACCCAGGAATCCTGCACCGTTGGGGTGTGGGCAGCAATGGACCCTGTTCATAAAGTGGTGGTTGTTGACACAGAGGGACTCCTGGGAGCAGGAGCTAACCAAGGACAGCGAACCCGCCTCCTCCTGAAGGTGCTTGCAGTGTCTGACCTGGTCATCTATCGGACACATGCTGACCGGCTCCATGATGATCTTTTCAAGTTTCTCGGGGATGCGTCAGATGCGTATCTAAAGCATTTTACGAAGGAGCTGAAAGCTACGACTGCCCGCTGTGGTTTGGATGTGCCCCTTTCGACTCTGGGTCCTGCTGTTATAATCTTTCATGAGACAGTCCACACCAAGTTATTAGGCTCAGGTCAGTTTACTGAGTTTTGGATGCTTTCCACTTTGCTGTCCTATTCACAAAACAATAGGTTAGAAATTACATTGAAAATAGATGAAGTATGCAAAATAATGAATGCTTTTGTCTTGTGTACCATAGATAAGCCATCAGAATCAGCCGAGCGGCTTCTTCAGGAACGTTTCAGAAAGCTTGGACTCTTTCCGGAAGCATTCAGCTCTATTCAGTACCGGGGCACCCGCACCCACAACCCCCCGACTGACTTCAGCGGGCTGCTGCGTAGCGTGGAGCAGCAGTTAGACAACAACACTACACGATCTCCACGGTCTGCCGGTGTCATCTACAAGGCCTTGCAGGTACATTTTTTTGTCATTGATAAACTCAATCACACATTTAACTCATCAATGACATGAAAGGGTGGAAGTGTAGGTTTGAATTACTTTTTCTATTTAATTTGTAACCTATTGAGAAGGTCGTTTTCCTCACATGGCTGCTTACAAATCCTGATCACTGGCCTTGAAATATTCCATAAGACTCTATTTTTCAGTTATAAAATGTATTGTATCAAGCTAATGATGAAGCTCTTTTTCACAAGGCTTTGAGTGAATGCTTCAGTGGAGACATTCCTGATGAGCATCTGGCAAGCAACTCTTTCTTTCCAGATGAATACTTTACCTGCTCTAGCATCTGCCTCAGCTGTGGGTAAGCTGCTCCTGACTCTCACTATTAAGTACATACTCTACTCTATTATGCTCACTAAGGCTGCATTTATTTGACCAACAATACAGTAAAAACACTAATATTGTTTCCAATTTTAATAGAAAATTCAAAATAACAGCATTTATTTAAAATAGAAATGTTTTTTTTTATATAATATCTTTGCTGTCACTTTTGATCAATTTAATGCACCCTTGCTGAATTAAATTATATCTTTCAAAACATTTGAATGGTAATGTTGTGGATATCAAATATAAGTTAGCAATTCGATTCTTTCCGACAAAGACCTAGACAGTATCGGGTTTGAACTCAAATATGGTAAAAAAAAAAACAATTTAGACAAAATATTTATTAAATGACCTCACCTTGCAAGGGGTGGGGATGTATAGAACTTGTTCCCTTTGAAGCCTGTTAAGGGACAAACCTTTTAAAGGAATTTGAAGCAACAATTTTTAGCAAGTAAAATTAATATTTGTATATATTTTTAGATTGCCAAATGTTTAGCTATGATGTCAACACGTCACCTACCTTATATTTTTAGCTCCTAAAGTTATTTTTTACAGTTAAGTAATTTACTTACACTTAAAAAATTGGTTTGATCAAATCACTAAAATAAAAAAAAAGTTCGTGTAGCGCCACTCAGCTTGCTAAACTAGTAATTAGATGTGTGACTATGCTAGTTTTGACTTTTGTAATACAGGTGGAAAATTCCTTGCATGTACACCATACTGAAGCCGGTTCTGAATTACATATATTCACAGAAGTAATTCTAATTCTTTGTTTTTTTTTTTGTTTTTTTTTAGCTCAGGCTGTAAAAACAGCATGAATCACCTACGAGAGGGTGTGGCGCATGAGGCTAAACACCGTTGCCGCTATTCAGCCCACTACGATAATCGCATCTACACCTGCAAGGTCGGTCCTAAACAATGCAACACATGACCTCACCTTACCAGCTATACTAATTCTCTGACTGCCCAGGTCTGACATGATGTGTTAACCTGCTATTCCAGGCTTGTTATGAGAGTGGCAAAGAGGTGATTGTGGTTCCAAAGACGACGGCATCCTCTGACTCTCCTTGGTTTGGTTTGGCCATATACGCCTGGTCCGGGTGAGTGGTGTTATTGGATTATAGTTGTACAGAGGTGCATTTACTTCAGTTCATTTAGACATGGGACTGAGTTGGGGTTTTTCTTTGCAGATATGTGATTGAGTGTCCAAACTGCTCTGTGATATATAGAAGTAGGCAATACTGGTATGGGAACCAGGACCCTGTTGATACAGTGGTTCGGACTGAGATCCAACATGTCTGGCCAGGGGTGAGCTGTTTTTTTCCTATGTTTCCTCCATTTCAATAGTGAAGTTTTATTCACTTTCACATTTCTGTCTCAGTCTGATGGATTCCTGAAGGATAACAACAATGCTGCGCAGAGGCTGCTGGATGGTGTGAACTATATGGCTCAGTCTGTTTCAGAGCTAAGCGTCAAGCCTGCCAAAGCCGTCACCGCCTGGTTAACAGACCAGATTGCTCCTACTTACTGGAAGCCCAATTCTCTCATCCTTGTGAGTTTTAATGTTAGGTTCTTTTTTTAATTTACCTTTTAAATGAAGAGAAGTCTTTACTGAAGAAAGAGTATATATTTTTTTTCAGAGATGTAATAAATGTGGAGAGGGATTCCAGGATAATGATACAAAGCACCACTGTCGGGCCTGTGGAGAAGGTTTCTGTGATGGTTGCTCCTCTAAAACACGACCAGTCCCTGAGAGAGGCTGGGGCCTGGCACCTGTGCGGGTCTGTGATGCCTGCTTTAAAGACAGAGGCATCCCAGAGGGTATACTACACATTGAATGGCAGACAGAAACATTTTAGATCATAGTCAATAATTCGTATATTAATTATATACAATATATATATATATATATTCACACGCTATATTTACTCTACTGTTCAATAGTTTGGGGTTTTAAAAAAAGGTTTTGAAAGAAGTCTCTTATGCTCCCCAAAACTGCATTTATTTATTAAAAAAAATATTATACAAATATTGTGAAATATCATTACAATTCAAAATATATTTATTATTTTATAGTAGTCTCTCTCTCTTTCTCCCTCTCTTATATATATATATATATATACTGTATAGAGAGAGAGAGAGAGAGAGAGAGAGAGATGGATAGATGGATAATTTATTTTAGTATATAATATAAAGTGCATACTGCAAACCTTTCAAAATTAAAAAATATATATATTGTTTTATTATAGCCTACTGTGCAATTATGCAAATGTGTCTGATACCTTTATCAATGAAATCAATAAAAAATACTGATTTACTGGTTTCAATCATTTTGAATGTATTGCAAACTTAGGATAAGACACAGTTGCAACATGTTGTGAATGAAATTATTTCAATTCATAATATCAATAATATAAAAATGATGATCTCACACAGAACTGTTGGATGCAGCGCTGGAAGAGGAAGAAGGTGGGACTCTGATTGCCAGGAAGGTGGGAGAAGCTGTTCAGAACACATTAGGAGCGGTAGTCACTGCCATAGACATCCCTCTTGGTGAGTTCTTCACTGCATTTCAGTTTTAGGAGCCCATGAAAATGGTTAACATGACATGTTAATTATACTAATATGGAAATACAGTATCAATCTATTATAACGTTTTTTTATAATTAAGGAGATATACAGTATTATTAATATATATATATATATATATATATATATATATATATATATATATATATTTTAAACCTTTGGCTTGTTTGACTAATCTGTTATGTGATCTTTAGTTTTAAGCAGTTTAATTTCATCATAGTTACTTACTTGCACTGGAATATCAGCATACACAAATGATCAAATGTGCCTGTGTATTTACTAGGTCTGGTGAAAGATGCCGCCCGTCCAGCATATTGGGTCCCTGACCAAGACATCCATTGTTGCTCCCAGTGCCAGCGCGAGTTTAACGCCCGTCTCTCTATCCATCACTGCCGTGCATGTGGACAAGGAGTATGTAACGACTGCTCCCCTGATCGCCGGGCCGTGCCCTCCAGGGGTTGGGACCATCCTGTGCGGGTGTGCGTCACCTGCAACCAAAAATCTGGAGAGCTCTAGCAAAACGGGGACATCTCTCCGCATTATAAGACACCCCCATATGTGGCCACAGTGCTTCAGTACAGGTTGGGAAGGAAGAAGTGCTACTCTCAAACCGATAAATCCTATTGGTTGTTGAAAACAAGAGGAACATCTCTGCGTTTTATCCCAACATTTCATTCACGTCATGCTCTTCAACTCTACATGAGCTGTTCACAGTTCAACATATGTATTAGCCTATGTATTTTCTTCTTTCAGAGGTTAAATCCATCAGGAAAATAAATGTATCTCAGACCTTTTGACAATCCTTTGTCTACCATGCAATACGTTACCTGTGGGCAGGCCCAGGTGGAACAAAAGTTTTTCAGGAAAACCTGCAGAATGGGCTTAAATGTCATAGAAAGTGTTAAATGTGCAAGATATGAATTATGGACGTTCGAATTCTATGGCTGCAGATCCGTATGGACCCTCCTGTGGTTAAAGGCAGCTAACATAAGGCCTCTACAGGAGACATTAGACTGGTGCACAACTATTAGTAATATTATTTACCGTACTGTGATGCTCAATTTTCAGTTTTACTAAACATTTACCCCGTCAATTTGCTTTTAAAATACAAAATTGTCCATATTGTTTTGCATTCCTTTACCCTCAAAAAAAGTGTACATTTTAGATTAATTACTCTTTTAATTATTTGCTGCCTTGTATGAATCTGATCTCACATGATCATGGTAAACTATCTGATATTGTTCAGCATAATTTAAATTTCTTATTTATCATTTATTTTAAATGTGTGTACTCGAGGAGGAAGTTTTTTTTTTTTTTTTAAGTTTTAAAAGAATCACTACCACGGTTGCCGAATCAAACTGCATAGTTACTCTTAACACAAAGCCGTGATGAAACTGCACAAATGATGTGGCTCTGCATTATCTGTCAAGAGATGCCAATTCTCATAAATCTCATGCAATTATATGGTGGTTGCTCTTATTTAGCCCCTGGTATGCGTTATGATCGCCGTCAGTAAAATGGTTTTCTTGGCCAATCGAACACTCATTATGTAGAATAAGGTTATTATAGACTCCGTGAGGCATGTGTGGATGATTGACCATGACTGACACAGACATAAGAAACATGAATATCATTTTATATTCTTTCCACCTTGTATGCTAATTAAATTAAACTTGAGTACCTCTAAGAGTGTGGCTTACATACAGTATAAAAATGAGTAAGTGCTGTCCTTATAGTGATTGAAGTGACAGTTCACCTAGAAATTGTGTCATTTACTCACCCTCATGTTGATACAATTCAAAACAGTATGACTTTTTTCTTCTATAGATTTTTTCTTTTTTTTGGCCTAATAACTGAAAGTCAATGGGGTTTTGATTGAACAAAAACAGATAAATTCATGTTGAGATTCAAACTACAGAAAAACAAACTTTGGATTTATTCAGAACAATTTCCCTCATATTTTTACAAAAAAGTCCCAGCATAATTCAAGTAAAATCCTTTTTTTTTTTCCATAAACAATGAAATTGCACTTTTAGGAGGTATGTTTCAAGTGGCTATATGGGACTATATTTTTTTTTTTTCGAATCAATATATTACTTTTAAAAAAGGCAGATGGTATAAATGGCAACATTTTTGGCCAGTAAAATGACCAAATAAAATAAAATGACAATAAAAATGACAACAGAATTTTCCACAGCAGCCTTGTACTTGTTTTCATAGCGTAAATATTAGCACTGACCCTGCAGTGTCAGCCCATCCTGATAGTCTTTGTTGTAAGAGTAGTAGTACAGATCATGACGAACAGCCATAAGGAGTCCAGGAAGTCCTTTACTACCACCCAGCTGGGAGGAAAACACTACATTTGGGATTGAGTCCTTCCCTGCAGGGTGAGGCGAGGGGATCGTCCTGAGTAGACGGCTGTCACGAAGGCTCCAAAGCCGGGTGTAGCAGTCCTGACCCACTGCGAACGGTACACAGGAGACGTGGTATAAGCATTGCAAAACAACTGAACTACATGATCATATGTGGGTTATATGAAAAAGATGTACCAGCAAGAAGCAATCCTTCTGGCTCATTGACATGAATGGGTAGATAGGCGTATTCATTGTGGTGTCCTTCATACTGTTTGACGGACCGCTTGACACGGATATCCCACAGCTTAATCTGTTCAGTGACGATATGAAGGGAGAATAAAGATTGGATAATTCATACCTGAGTGCTGTAAATGTTATTAGCTGAACCTATATTAGCATGATGGTTGGTAGTTGTTTATGATAGACAGACATTGCCCAGCATGTCAGAAGCGAGGAGGTAGTTCTCATCCTGTAGCAGGTGGACTGAGGTGATGGCTGACTCCTGGTAGAAGCGGCTGGTCTTCCAACCGTGACTGTGACCCCTGTCACGCTGACGCAGGTCAATGCTGAAGATCTCTCCAGAGCGACAGCCGTTGAACAGCACCGGAGCCTAAAATATGAGATTCATCACACAAGTGTCCCACATAAATCTTTGCTCACGTGCATAACTAAAATGTATAAAATTACCAAAACTTTCCTGTACAGAATGTTAATTTCTAGAGCCAAGAAAATAGATTCCTTGCAAAAAAAGTAAAAAATAAATAAAAAAAAATTTAAATCAAACCTAAAATCTACAGTAAGGATCCATTTGTTAATTTCATTAGTTAACAGCTGTACACTTAGTTGTATTTGTTAATAGTAATTTAACGAACCTGAGCTAACATGAACAGTTGCATTTCTATAAACTAAGGTTAACAATATTCATGAATACTGTGACAAATGCATTGCTCATTATTAGATAATGCATTAACTATTATTATGACATTATTGTAAAGTAATTTTCTTTATTATTATAATCATAATTCTGCTTAAACTTTGTATTTAGGGATATTATGCATTTAAAATTACTCTCAAGTTTTATGTTGCATTATCATCTTGGACTTGTTCTGACACTTAAGTGGCTTGGATGCAGGAATTATTACAAATTATTAATTTCTTTATGTGTTAACATTTTTAAAGAGGTACAAATAACTAAGAGCACCTTTAAAGGGATAGTTCACCCAAAAATGAACGTTCTGTTGTCATTAATTACTCACCCTCATGTCGTTCCAAACCTGTAAGACCTTCATTCAGCTTAGGAACAAAAATTAGGATATTTTTTGATGAAATCCAAGAGCTTTCTGATCCCTCCCTAGACAGCAATGTCATAACCACTTTCAAGGCCCAGAAAGGTAGTAAAGACATTGTTGAAATAGTCCAAGTGACTACAGTGATTGATTTTACCTTAATTTTGTGACAAGAATAATTTCTGTGCAATAAATAACGACTTTATTCAACAAATTCATCTCTTCCGTGTCAGTCTCGGATGCTGTTAATGTTCATTTTTGGGTGAACTAACCCTTTAAATGATAGTCAAACTGGGAGAGACTGAAAAGTGAGAGATTATATATGGTAATATGGCTGGACTTCATGTGTACTCCCACTGCGCCATGGCCCTGACTTAAACACAGTGAACTTTCACTTTTCAGGCAATGCTCTCTTCTCACCCTTAGGGCAAACTGCTGAGCTAGAACATCACTTCCAGCGAGGTACGTTGCTCTGCGTCCAGTCTCAGCATCCGTAACAATCACTCGGCGAGAAAGGCCTAGGTGTACATATAAAAAATATATAGCCTACATATTCACCACTGTTCAAAAGTTTGAGCTCTTATAGAAATGAATATAATTTATATATTCTGCAAGGATACATCAAATTGCTCAAAAGTGACATTAAAGACGACATTTATAAAACAAATTAAGTCAAATAAATACTATTCAAAGAATCCTGAAATAATGCATCAAAGTTTTCACATAAATATTAAGCTGCAAAACGGTTTTCAAATAATAATAAATGTTTCTTGAGCACCAAATCAGCAAATTAGAATGATTTCTGAAGGATCATGTGACACTGAAGACTGGAGTAAGGACTGCTGAAAATTAAGCTTTGCCGACACAGGAATAAATGACATTTTCAAATATGTTAATACATTTTTAAATTATAACAATATTTTTTTAAAATATGTTTTTACTGTATTGGTGATCAAATAAATGCAGCCATGGTCTTAAAACATTTAAAAAAAAAAAAACCTTAGCCAGCGGTATAGTGTATATTCATTCCAACTGCAGACACAGAGATCTATACAAACTCATACAAATATACATACTCAAGAACTCACCAGTGCTGAAGGTTTTATCAGCCTGTGGGTTGAGACACCATGCGCAAGACCAAGCTGTGGAGATCTTAAAACTGCACAGCATCCCTGGTTGATCTAAAGAAGAAAAAGAAGCCAAGTCATTTCATCATGATACAGGGAAACCAAATAAATGTCTATTTCAAAATTTGGGAGACTCAAAAGGTAAATATTTGAACCTGGATTGAAGTTGCTGAAAAGAGAAGCAGGTAATAAGCTTACACAGCCTGGCGTCTGAGAAATGCCCACCAAACACAACCTGAAAACACTTGTCAAGAAACACTTCCTTACCAATTAGGGACTATTTGGTATTTAATTAATTGGATTTACTAGAGTAAACATGCAGGTATGCTCATCTGAAAATGCACTAGTGACTAGTGTAGTGAAATATGATGCGCAGGTTCATTCAAAGAGTTATCATTTGGCACCCATTCAAAGTATTTCACAAAGATAAATACTTTACATTAAACAATAAAAGTCATAGTAAACATACTCTAAAAGGAAATTTAAAAGGAAAATGCCAATACTCGCATTTCATAAGCATATGGTATTTGAAGCCCTCATCTTCCAAACAATGTTAAAGATTATTTATTTTAAGAACTGGTTATGAAAATTCCTAAAAACTGAATACAATGTTAATGTGTATCTAGCAAAAGCACAATACAGATCTACAGCTTCAAAATAGATCTCAAACAAAATTGAAGCTTTAGTTTCTAGAATCTGAAACGTTTGAAGGATACAGAACATGCGAGTCTGTATGCGTCACAGAGGCCCAGCATACAGAGTTCACCTGAAACAAAATTACATTTGTTCATTACGAAATCACTATTGCAAAAACATCTTGTTTTGTTTTTCAATGGTGGAAAGAATTCCTTTTAAACTACACAGCTTACCTTGCGGTTAGTAAAATAAAGATTATCGCACATCTCCACCGACAGAGAGCCTTTTTTGCAGCCATGGAAATTCATAATGCCATACTTGCAGCCTCCGTGCGACACGTCATTCACTGTGAAAACCCTCTCACAAGCCGAATCTGCCTAATAAGGTGCATCCAAAATAAAAAAAATAAAAAATAAACGGTCAAACTGTAAAATACAATCCCTGCCAAAGCTTAATCTTCCTTCTGGCTAGTTTTACAAATAATAGACAACTGGAGGCCAAAACCACCAGTAACACCTGCCAACAACCCCTTTTCCATGAAAACGTCCTATGCAGTGAGTATGAGATGATGCCCTCAGGCAGAAGGTACAGGTTACCAAACTGCAGATTAAATAGGTTTAAATTTTCTTTTGTACCGCTCTCTATTAAAATACTGAACGATCAACTAGGGTGTGTGGGTTAGAATTTAAGTGTGAAACTAATTATGTTTAATCATGTCGGGTGTGACATTAATTTTTAACATTAATATAATCTGTAATTCATGTTTGTGTGTTATGTGTTATGTATAATGTATACTGTGTTGCATCTGTTTCCTGAAGGCCAAAGATGAATTTCTCCATTAGGAGACAATAAAGGCTAATCCAATCCAATCCAAAACACAGCTAACCAAAGAATGGCTTGACTGTTCTCAAGATTCCTGACCTCAGCATAACATTCTATTTTCCACTGAGAATACATTTAAATAGAGGGAGTTGTCTCAGAAATCATTGTTTTCTTTCCAAATCATCAAGTTTTTCACATTAAACAAGAGGCTTACAACAATGAGATGGAAGTTGTCAGTGTTCGGGCAGGTGGAGTTGGAGCTTTGCACCTCCAGCCTGTGACGTTGCATCCCACTAACTTTGACTTCATGGATCAGCCTGCAAAATGAGAACAGCCTTGTGATCAAATTCATTTTAAAGAATATATATTTCTACAAAATATCAATTAAAAGCAAAGAAGAAAAAAAAAATTATTCACAAAACATTATTTTATGTAATACCTAGAATAAGAGCTTGGGGGCAGCAGACCCAGATGTCTCTTCTGTAACAGCAATGCAGAATTCATCCCTGTCCTAGGAGCTTTCTGAACACACCAACAAGAATCAAGGAGAACATTACATCTCAATAGGTTTGATAACAAATCAATACAATGACTTATTACCTACAAAACCCATCCAACTACAGATATGCATTTGAACAAAACGTCAAAAGATATCTCTTAAAGGGTTAGTTCACCCAAAAATGAAAATTCTGTCAGTATTTACTCACCCTCAAGTTGTTCCAAACCTCTACGTGTTTATTTGTTCTGCTGAACACAAAGGAAGATATTTGGAAGAATGTTTTAATCAAACAGATCTCACTCCCCATTGACTACCATATGTATTTTTTCCTACTATGGTAGTCAATGGGGAATGAGATCTGTTTGATTAAAACATTCTTCCAAACATCTTCCTTTGTGTATAACAGAACAAATAAACACATAGAGGTTTGGAACAACATGAGGGTGAGTAAATACTGACAGAATTTTCATTATTTGGGTGAACTAACCCTTTAAATAATGCAGCTGGATTTTACTGCAAAAAAACGTCCACATAAAATCCCCAGCTCACTTTCTTAGGAGCATCATCCTCTGCAAGCAGTGCTTCTCTCTTTTTCTCTTCTTCCTTTTTCTGGAGCCCTTCTTTTGTCAAAGGGTTACAGTTGTTGTGTCCGGGCAACAAACGAAAGTATCGGTTTTTCTCTGGGTCAAAGTAGAATCCTGGCAGCTCTATAAGAGATAATGGTTAATGGCTAAGTGAATCATTTTTGACTGCTATAACAGAAAGATGTGCAGAGGGATAATGCAAAGTAAAAGTTCACCTGGTGCAGATGAGGATGCAGAGGACGAACCTGCATCACTTGCTGTCCTCTCAGACCTAGAAAAGGACTGATGTTATGAATGATTGTTGATGGTAACAGCTAACATAAATACAAAACAAGCATAACTAAAAAAAAAAAATGAATACAAATCTGGAGATAGAACTGAACGGCCAAAACTGCTTACTTTGGGTTTCAAAACTTTAGTATCAACACATGCAGTGATTAGAAATGCAACATGTCCACTCAAAAATCAATTTCACCTTCATGTAGTTCCAAACCTGAATGACATACTTCTGTGAAACAAAAGGAGAACTTGGAGAAGGACATGATCACTTTGATCTTTCACTTTGTCTGCGTCTTTTTCCAAACAATAAAAATGAATAATACCGAGGCTGTCATTCTTCCCCAGAAAAAGACAAACAGGTATGGAACAGCATGAAGGAAGTAAATTTTTCATAGTTTCATTTTGAGGAGCGTCTATTTGAAAGGTGAACAGACTCCGTCCGTGTTAACTTACCCATATTCCTGCTCACCGTGTGCTGAACGCTGTCTCCTCCGCCACTGTGACTGGTGTCGGTGATGGTCCCTGCCTCGAGCTTCATATCCCCGCTTCATTTCTAACTTACTTCTCAGGAGTCATGCCAGAATATCAGCTAAATTAGTTAAATCTGAATGAATACCTTTATTTTCAAATAAAGAAGAAACTGTTTGTATTCATTTTTGGTGTTAGAACATATATGAAACTAAACATTTTTGGGGCATTATTAATTAAGACAGTGGTCACTGATAAAAAAAAATACTGATTTGTTATGGAGTTGAACAAGGGGCTAACATGCTAAGACTACAATCATGAACATTCACGTGGCTCGTTCATTTGTGTTAACTCACATTTTTATTGATCGACGTAACTTATTAGGTACGTTATATAACATACTAAATACATATAAACTGTAGGTAAAAAGGGAAGTCATAATAAACTTACCTGAAATAACGTTAGTTGCCTTTCGTGCTAACTCCCTGTTTGGAAACTCAATTTCCTCGTGATGACGCAGGGAATGCCCGCCTCCTTACTGTTCAATGGTGGACCTCTGAGACTTTTCTAATGTGATTGGATAATGAGCTGTCAATCACTTCACATGCTGGTTTCGTTCTGGATCTGTTCAGGGTGTCGTTGCTAAACGAATGAATAAAAATAAAAAGTTGTATATGACGATTAAATGTATTTGATGTATTTAAATGTAAAAAATAAATAAAACAATTTAACAACATGTCTACCAAAAATAGAGTGTTTATTTTAATTGTTTTCATTTAGACTACAGGAGACACTTATTCTGTAGCTGACTGTAAAAAAACAACAATAAAAATAATAAAATTAATATATGCAATTTGCATCACTTTATCTATGCAGTCAAGCAAGCAAATGATCTAAGTAAATTTGTATTTTTTATAATTTTGACAGCTCTTGGAAGCTACGCCCAGATTCTGATTCCTAGTATTGTATTGGCCAGACTGCCGGACACTGAGGTCCGTATTGGCTGCTTTCCTTTCACACGGATCCCAAAGAACTCAGAGATTTGGAATATTAGGTTACAGTGTGGCAAAATGGCGACTGTCATTCAGAATCCGCTGAAATCGTAAGTAATTATAAACATTATTTTCGCTCTTTTTTGAAAATGTGTTGTATTCCGCTTGATTTAGAGTATGTGTGCAAACCGAGTCTCGAAATAGAACTGTATGCACCGTGCATTTTGTGCTTCAAGGAATTCTGTCCCAACGAATAACTGTTTAATCCACGTAGTTTCTCTTTGTGTGGGTATGTAATGTATATATTCATGTGACTAAATACATTTAAAGCGTTATGTTCGCACATTCATTCTGCAAATATGCAACGGGGTGTCTCAGCATTCTGCCTCTGATGGTCAATGTGAGTGCAGCATTATTTCGGATGCAATGCTTCGAGAGTGTAACGTTACAGACTCCGTTGACTTGTTTGCAGGACACCTAGATAAGACCATATATTAAATATGTCAGAGCTGTTAAATGACTGCACAAGCATGTCATCGCTAAACTAACGTACTTATAACGTAAAATAATAATTTAACGATCTAGATGATACACGGTGAAGTAGACCGATTATGTGGTTCGGTTGCATATTGTCCTAAAATGCGTATAAGTAGGGATTGAATAATTTCCTCGTGGCCTATGGAGAGAACTGCTGGACAGATATAACCGTCACATATACATTGACAATTGAAAAGTGTCAAGTTGCAGAACACGCAACATTTTTTTGGTTTAAAATTGTTTTTTTTTTCCCATCTGGAATTCTTTAGATAAGTTTATTTAACGCATATTTTATTGTTTATTGTTTGATATGAGATACACATTGATTTCGTTTTGTCTGGTGAATAAACGCCGTTTTATATGTAATATAAATGAATGTTACGCTGTTTTTATAGCTTTTATCTATATAACTATATATATATATATATATATATATATATATATGAAGAGTTCAGATGCAAAAGCCTCTAAATGCCATTTGAAATTTTCTTCTTTAATGATGATTTTTGTCAAACTTGTATATTTAACTCCAGTAATTTCACTTAAATAACAATTAATAGGTAATTATCATTGTCATTTAAGTGAAATCACTGAACTTAAATATACAAGTTTACAAGCAATGGCATTTAGAGGCGTTTGCATCTGAACTCTTCATATATAGATAGATAGATAGATAGATAGATAGATAGATAGATAGATAGATAGATAGATAGATAGATAGATAAAGGCTATAAAAACAGCGTCACATTCATTAAGTCAAGATCAAGTGATGGATAACAATGGAATTTGCTGTCCTGTTCTCTCTTGTTTGTCTGTTGAAGTGCAGAGCTGCTTTCTCCCATGTGACAGAATTCCAGCTTTTATTAGATTTACATTTATCAGGTTTTTAAGGAGGGGTTTGTCCTACTTATTGGCATTTTTCAGTACTTTTTTTCAGTGGCATTTACCTTATGCTATTCCTATAACATTGTCAGTGGAGAAACTTTAGATTTCCATGTTAAAAATAATTATTACATATGAATACTTGTGCTTTATAACAGATATTGCATGAGTAGAGTAACAAAGTTAAATTGTTTTTTTCCCCCCTTCTTTGGTCGTGTCTTATCTTGCAAGTGAAAAAGAATTGCATCTGGTGCCTCCTCACCAAAAAAAAAAAAAAAAAAGGTTGCACGATGCCCTTGGATTCACACCAATCTAAATCATAGTTATCTCTATGATTCATCTCTTTTCGAACTCAAGCTGATTTGTCGATATAAGCGTGTACACTGAGGGGGATGCACCATCTCTAAATGCTGTGGTGGAGCAGATTAGCAATATCCCAGGATCCCTCAGTACCCATCTGTTCCAATGACTAGCCGCAGAGATGTCAGTGGGCAAGAGACGGAGCCCCATCTGCTCCAGATCATGGACATAAAGCTCCCCTCCCATCCCACCAAAAAGACATCAGGGGGTCACCACAAGCAGGAAAGGGAGCTGTATACACCTGTCTGAGCACACTCCTGTGTGTATTCCTCTTCCCACTGCTATTGTTCTAAATACTTTGCCAATAGACAGTAAGCACATTTACTTATTATGTTATGAACTTGTAAATGATGGATATGTTAAACAAAGACTGTTGCTGGTGAAATTTGGCTGTGATTTTTTTTTCTTCTTCTTTTATAAATCTCATTATGTTGTTTATTCTTTGTGAATGAGATTACTTCCTACCACTGTGAAATACAAGTAACCTTTTCTACCGAGTAGCAGTCATATATAGGCTACCATAGCATACTCAACAGCATTTAGCCTATTAATTTATTAGTGTCTGGAGAGCAGGGTCAGGTGGTTTGCGTTCGTCTCGTCTCATATAAATCGAGGAGGGATACATTGAGGGGGTGAGAATGTGGGGTTTAGGTTAAGGCGTTTGCGGTTGGCTGTTCCCCTCCCCCCATCTTCGTCTGTCTGGATGCATTTCGCTTTCGCATTACAACTGCACTATGGACACCGTTGAGCCTGAGGTCTTTGTGTGTCCAGGAACAAGGATTTGTGTTGGGATAGACTCCACTACACAAAACCTTTATCCTGTTCAGCATTTGTTTCTTTTTGTTTATATCTTTAAAAAATAGACATACATGAAGTAAAGTAACCAAAGGGAAGGCATATTTTAAATGGCATTCTATTCCATTTCATTCCATTATCCATTTGCTAACAGTCTAGAACTCTACATCACCCTTTTCCGCCTTCTTTTTTTTTTTAAATAAATGTTTGCTAGCAAGCCAGATAACTGCACACTCCAGGAGTTCTTCAAGCTCTTCTGGCCTTTCTCTCTTGCTCAAGACCCTTTCTTTATTCACCGCTAAGGGGTTTCTCTCAGAAAGTGAGCGATATCATGAAAGCGCAGCAGTCTGATGGGGCACCTATGTTTAGCTTCCTCACAGCCTAGATTTGCTTCAAACTCTTTAAGACTGACTAAAGAGGTTTAGAGCAGAGCTGAATAATAAGGCATTGAATTTCCACTACAATCATACATTATTTCACAGATTCATAATCAATCATAAAAAGAATTACCATGAGACAAGGCTATAAATAAATACTTAGACTATGTGTTTTATACCGTGGGTCGCTAATTATTTTCATGTTATGGCTGATAACCTGTAAATGGCTGATATTATTCATACTATACTATTTTGTACAAATACATAAACATGTAACACTAAAATCTAAAATAGTGCATTACCATTCTATTCAATTCATCAAAGAATATTGAAAAAAATCTATATCATGGTTTTCACAAAAATATTGTGCATCACAACTGTTTTGTAATTCTAATAAATCTGTCTGCCGATGATTGATATGGTGCTGAATCTGATATATCATGCAGTGCTAAATCACAGTAAAATAGTTTGGATACAGTTTATGCCATTAAACAAAAATGAAATTATTGATTCAAATTCAATGAAGCTAAATTGTTAAATGCCTAAATTCTATCGCTAGATGATCAATGCTTTTTTGGTATGCAAATGTAGCCCAGTAATTACTGGTCAGTTGGATTAACAGGCATGTAATGAGTGAATGTGGTGCACTCAGTGCCCTGGGTGTTCAGAGCGAGAGAGAGAGAGAGAGAGAGAGAGAGAGACTATGCTTCTGTTTCCAGCCTCTTCATCTCCCCATAGACATACAGAAAAGAGCCTGACTGTGATGGATCACACTTTCTCTTCACACGACTCACTGTGGAGGGCAAATCCCTATTCATATCAGCACCTCACTACCCTCCGGTGCTACAGACTATATTAAAATACCCATATGATCACATAAATGATTATTATATTTGGATAGGGGGTTTACTTTGAAGTGAGAAGGTTTTGGAGAGGTTTAAAGGTGGGGCATTTCTGTGCCCGTGGCAGACTGATCATTTCCTTACTGCCATTGGTCAGTGAACCGAAAGCCTTGCCCCAAATTAGCACCATTGGTTGAGCTGAATGTTTCTGTGTTGGGCATGTTGGGATGTATTTCAGGCTGGGATGGTACATAGCCTGGTACTTTAACGTACAAACTGGCACACTGGAGATCTGTACGTGGTATATTTTTAATGTATAATGAGATTTGTTATCGAGAAGGTGGTTTGAACAAGGAAGCCATGATGGGTTGTTGTTGTTGTTGTTTTTTAAAAAAATCTGATACAGCATTTTAGTTCATCAAATCTTGTTTACTTTCACTGATGAAAAGCTTCCTTAGGAAGTGCTTTGAGACTAGACATCTCTGTGCCGACCTGTTAACTAATGAAAGCTTAATCACATTTGGAGGGCCAGTTGACATAGCACACGACGTCTAATTTAAATGCAGTGCTGATTATCACGACGGTATGCATATGTATTTGAAAATGAACAACAATTCTGTGAGCAACGCCTACCTAAGCCAATGATTATTCATGGACACCTGTCCAGAATGACCATTCTGATTAAGTCAAACTAAAGGGGTCATTTAAATATGAAAGACATCTTCTCTATCCTTAAGAAGTGTGGCTATGTTCCTCTGAGACACAAAGGAGACGCCCCTGTTGTTCAAGTAATATGAATATAGACGCTGGCTCTGCTGAGTAAAGGGGCCTCCAGCCTCTGAGTTACACACAAAACTGTGAATGAGCTGCAGCTCTGCTCTGTTGAATAAAGAAGAGGTATTCATTTCCTAAGAGCAGCCCAGGCACAAAGCACATGGCTCAGTGCAGAAGTTTCATTTACAGTAATCATAGAGGCTGAAACAGGCTGACAGAAATACCTTTTTCGAATTGGACATGTGAAAAAAAATTGAAGTATACTTAAGTAAAGTTCAAGTATATTTTTAAATATACTTTATGTAAGTGAGTACACTAATATCAATGTACTAAAAGTGTACCATTTCAATACGCTGGACTAAATTGGGCCACTTTTTTAGTGTATAAAAAAATATTACACAAGTAGTTTACAACTAAGTTTTTTGTTTGTACTGCAACTAAACTACAGGTGAACTTATACTGATAATTTACTAGTCAAATACTTGTTGCAAATCTTTTTTAGTTTATGAAAGCACACTTTGAAGTATACTCTCAGTAAACAACTAGTTTAGTAGTTAATACTGCAAACTATACTTGTAAGTTTTTTTAAGTGAACATAACATCATACTTATATAGTTTACTATTTATATATTATTTTTTACTGTATGTTATATTTATAACTTTTCTATAGGCCTAAAAATACCTACCTTTAACTGGTTAAGGTTTTTGATGAAAACATTACAGGATTTTTCTCCCTATAATGTACTTTACTGGTAACCAAACGGTTCAAGGTCCAAAAGACAGTTTCAGTGCAAACTGCAAACTGTTCAAGGGGCTTTAAACGATTCCAGACAATGAATAAGGGTCTTATCAAGCGAAACGATCGCTCATTTAAAAAAACAACAACAACAAAAGTTTAATTTTTTTAAGCTCAAATGGTCGCCTTGCTCTGTTCTGTGATGGTCGCCTTGCTCTGTTCTGTGCTCTGTTCATAACTCTCCTGTTCGAACTCGTTCATCAAAATGAACGAATCTTTTGTCATACATAAATGTCATACATTTAGCTGACGCTTTTATCCAAAGCGACTTACAATTGCATATGTCAGAGGTCGCACGCCTCTGGAGCAACTAGTGGTTAAATGTCTTGCTCAGGGACACATTAGTGTCTCACAGTGGATTCGAACCCGGGTTTCTCACACCACAGGCATGTGTCTTATCCACTGCGCCATCACCGCCCCTACGTGGTCTTCCATTGAGGAAGCAGAGGCTGAGGGCTCAGAGGTGGACTGGAACATCACCCTAGCTGAAGTCACCGAGGTGGATGAGATCCACCCTGAGTACCTCAAGTCTCTGGATGTTGTGGGGCTGTCTTGGCTGATACGCCTCTGCAGCATTGCGTGGTGGTCAGGGACAGTGCCTCTCGGATGGCAGACCGGGGTGGTGGTCCCTCTTTTTAAGAAGGGTGGTGTTCCAACTACAGGGGATCACACTTCTCAGCCTCCCTGGGAAAGTCTATGCCGGGGTACTGTAGAGGAGAACACGGCCGATAGTGGAACCTCGGAAACCGCGGTTTTTGTCCAGGCCGTGGAACACTGGACCAGCTCTATATCCTCTACAGGGTGTTAGAGGGTTCATGGGACTTTGCCCAACTAGTCCACATGTGCTTTGTGGATTTGGAGAAGGCATTTGACTGTGTCCCTCGCGGCGGTCTATGGAGGGTATTGCGGGAGTATGGGGTCGGGGGTCCTTTGCTAAGGGCCGTCCGGTCCCTGTATGACCGAAGCAGGAGCTTGGTTTGTCCGCAGTAGGTCAGACTTCTTCCCGGTGCATGTTGGACTCCAGCAGAGCTACCCTTTGTCGCCGGTTCTGTTCATCATTTTTATGGACAGAATTTCTAGGCGCAGCCAAGGGCCGGAGGGTGTCAGGTTTGGGGTCTCTGCTCTTTGCGGATGACGTTGTCGTGTTGGCCCCTTCAGACCAGGACCTTCAGCATGCACTGGGACGGTTTGCAGTCGCGTATGAAGCGGCTGCGATGAGAATCAGCACCTCCAAATCCGAGGCCATGGTCCTCAGTCGGAAAAGGGTGGCTTGCCCACTTCAGGTTGGTAAAATATGTGCAATTTACCAAAAACTACACAAGTGAGGTCGTATGAATTTGTACGAATTAGCCACCTTATAAAATTTGTATGATTTGCCTTGAGATTAGTTGCCCTTTTGGACTGGTCTACTATACATGTTTAAAACTTCTCAGAAGAACTGATATCCACACGATGCTCTGTTAGCTCACTGTTTATTCCAAAACATTCCAGTGTCATATCATCCCACAATTTTGGTGAGCTCATATACACTGTGAGAAGACCAGTTATAATTACCTTTCCCTTTCAAAATTTTAAGAATATTACTTGACCAAAGCCACATTTCTGTTTCCTGCCCACAACATGCATCATCTATAGAAGCAACTGCAATGGGGCTGTGAAAATCAAATACTTTGACAGATTTAATAAACATCCATTCTATTCTCCCCAGTCCATAGCATTAAACGACCTTCAAGCACCATGCCTCCAGGGAGGTGGCAGAGAGAATACGTGTCTCCCAACACGCCAGTCTAACTGTTTACATAACTGCTCCACTCTGTTGACCGGAGTCCTTGCCTTGAGTGTAATACGGGAGGCCGTTTATAGTAAAGGTTTTGTATGGGGGAGGGAGGTTGTATGAAGCACGGTGTTCTCAAATGAGCTCTTTCCTTAAGATGGTGCTGAGAGACACCATCACCATCAACCGCTCATTGGTAAGCACTTGTCATCTCTAGGGGCTGTTATGTTTTTGTTTAAGGTACTGAAAAGTAGTTATAGATTGACTCTAAGAGGGAACTTGAGTTTGAGAGGCATCAGGGGTGTTTAGTCCAGTGGAGCATGTTGATGATTATGGTGATAGAGGCTCTCGCGCGGGTCGTGGGCGCTCTAATGCGGGCCTCTGTCACTGCAACTTACATAATGACTCCTGCAGTCACCAGCTGATAGCACAGGCATTTCGTTTCTGGGAAATAATGCACACAGGAAGCCCAGGAAAGAGAGTAGTAGAGGAGCAGGGTAGTAAATGCTGGAGGAAAGAAGAAATGTAGATGTAATCTGGAGATTTGCAAGATAAATGACAAGAGAAGAATCAAGCAGATTATTTAATAATACATCGGTTGATCTGGGTGATATTGTTCTCAGTGTCTTTTGGGTAGAGGCTGAAAGCATAAGGAATTTATTGATTCTGGTTTCTATTTTGATTTCATGTAATATAAGGGTGAAAAGTTGATGTTTAGGCAAAAGAACAATAACATTCATGTTTATTCCAATAAGAAACTGTTATCTCTCCTAAACACATGATGTAAATTTCTATGACTTCCTTTTTTCCGTGGACCACAAGAATGTTTGGATGAGTTGAAACTATTAAAGTCAATGGGGTCCAAAATAACGGTGTTGCATGCAGTATATCGGTACTGACGATTTCCGCGATATCTAAAAAATCTAGAGAGATTTTTTGATAATACTGTGCATACAATAACAATAATATTGTAAAAAAAACAAAAACAAATTTTGAGCCAGTAAATATCTTGTTGACCCTCCCTTCATAGCGGGTGGTGGTACTGCACCTAAGCACTTAATGTCATAATAAAACATCATTTTTAGTTACTACTGTACTATCTGATGGCAAATGATGGCAAAACATTCTACCTGCACTCCAAAAAAATTAGCTCGCCACTGTGAGAGTTTTTTGAATTCTGTAAAAAAGACAGGGTGTTGCAGGAAGTGCTTTTGTACAGTTATGGTTACAAACACACTCTCTGCCTCCCAACACTCTATTTGTGATTCAATGGCCAAAAGAAAAAAGGAAAACACACAATAAACACAGTTAAAGATGTATTTTACAGATAACATTATTATTTCTTCAGAATTTGTATAGATATCACAACAATATCCTTAGTGTGAATTATTTTAGCCATTATTATCTGATATAAGTGAAAGCCTTAGTTCAAAACAACATTGGATCCAACTGACTTTTATTGTGTGGACAACATTTTTTTTTTTTAAATATGTATTGTGTGCGTTACACAGAAGAAAGAAAGTCATGCAGGTTTGGAACCAAACTACTGTCTGCCCATATTTACAAAACATCTTTCCAAAACATAACAGATTTTTTTAGTTAAAATGGAACTGGTTATTTTTAAGAACTTGTTCTTCTTGATTCTCAAACCTACTTTTGGGGTTAAACTATGCTATCAAATGTTAGTTGTCTCAGTTGTCTCTCTCAGACCTTTGCTTTTCATACCTGCCTGCTCTTTTTCTCTCCTTCTCCCTCTAAACACTGGGGCTCTTTGTGTCACTATGCTGGGTTTAAAATTTGGAATACTGCTCTTTGTCCAGCCCAGCATTCCTCACATATCTGTGTATCCTCTAGTCCAGAGAAGAGTGATCTAATCGAAACAGGAGGTAGTTATGGGGAGAGAAGTCATGCAGGCTGGCTCAGGTCCAGTGTCTCTTCTGTCTTTCAATATGGAAGTTGGTAGTGACTTATTTTGATTGCCTATAGGGAATAACATGGATGACAATGTAAGCATTTCTTTGAGCAATTGAGACTGTGCTTGTAACTAAAAGTGCATGACTCTCAAACAATCGGTGGGAAACTGAATTGTGAAAAGAAAGCATTAAGAAAATTTAACAGCTCCATAGTCTGACTAATGTATGAGGTTGAATGTGATTTCACAGTACAACATCTTTGTTGATCCTGGAACAACATTCCAATCAACCAATCAGATCTGAGGGACACGTTTACAATTTATGGCAAGCTTCGGCTTGCAATCAGGGTTAGGTGCTTCTACATCAGTGAGTGTTATTCACCATTCATCATTTCCCTCAATAACTTATGGGTAAATTTAGAGGGAGGGATAGGGTTAGCCTATTTTCAGGTATGTTGTTCAAGGATCAACAAAATATATGTTGATCCAGGTACATGTCTTACTTGGCATTTTGGGTATAGTAATTATTAGTTGAAGGTGGCACTGACGTGGTTTATGCTAAAGCCAGGATTCCTCACCAAATGTGTCTTCCTCAGGCTCGGGGACCAGTTCTACAGGGAGGCCATTGAGCACTGCCGCAGCTACAATGCCCGCTTGTGTGCGGAGCGCAGCGTACGCATGCCATTCCTGGACTCTCAGACGGGCGTAGCTCAGAACAACTGTTACATCTGGATGGAGAAGCGGCACCGAGGGCCAGGTAGCACGTTCTACAAGCATAAAATTCATTTGATTGAAGAGTTCATACTAAATTTTCATTATTTATATCCCTTTGTGATGTTCCAAACATGTATGCTGTTATTTTGTCTGTGGAACAGAGAAGGAACTTTTTTTTTTTTTTAATCTTTACAGTGGTCTTTTCAATATGGTGACAGTTAAAAAAAAGTGAATGAATGAATAGATAAAAGTGCTCATATAATCATATAAGTAAAATATTATATTATGTTATAATGTTTATTCATATTCATATTATTTATTTAATCAGATGTACTGTAAATGTACGATACAGTACAATTGTAAATTATATACAATCTTATACATAAATATTACAATATTATATCATATTTATTATATAATATTGCAATGATTGTATATAAACCGTATGCATGGTTTTTGTTATAATAAATAAATATATTAGGATTCTTCAAAATATCAAATCAAATATTCTGCTTCACAGAAGAAAGTAATTTATATGAGACTGGGATGACATGAGGGTGAGTGAATTATATTTTAGGTGAACTATGAAGAGATAGGGTCTGCTAGCATAAATTAGCGGTATTTATTAGCGGTATTTATCCTATATTGCAATGTGCATTAAATGAACTACACACTGGATGTAAACTGCTGTCGTCTGAAGATGCCATCATGTAACCAAATGTTTAAAATTGGTGTCGTATCCAGTTGGTGCACTATTTTTTCATTTCACCACAGGCATTTGGATAAGTTGGACTTTGGCACTGTACACACATTCATCTAAACCTCAATTTTAATTTCACTTTAAAATGCAGCTTGATTTAAGGATAAAAAATTGGCACAATTTGTTTTAAGGCAGATGGCACAGGGATTGAAAATAATACGTGTTGATGAGCGTTTAGACTAGTGTTTAGGAAATTGTAGGTTTCCGCTTGTCACGTTAAACAATGAAATAATATTCAATGTAATGAAGCAGAAGTATGCATTAGGGTTCTGTCTCTAGTCACACAGCATTCCTTTTCTTATTATCTGACCAAAACAGCCAATATCTAAACATACAGATGCCAAAGGGAACAATATGCCTGCCGAGAACCGGACACAAATAGAGTCAGCGTCTCGCAACTAAAAGCTCCATAGCCACACCCTACACTTTGTGGTAGACCAGTGTTTATTGCATGTTTTTATTCTGGGTTTCTCTCTCTCGATTCCTCTATTTCACCGTTAGGCTGGGTAGATGTATAACTGAGACCATGTGCCTCACATATGTAAATGCATTATGTGTTATGGGCCAATCAGAGAGAATGACTCTGTCAACACCCCTGATGCCAGTGTTTTTGTTTTAAGAGGTTTCATTAAAATTCTTGTGTTTGAATCCCTGTCCAGAAAAGATTAGTTTTGTGTTTCTCAGAATGATACCTGTAAAATTAAATTTATATGGCTTTGCTCGCTGTCAAAAAACTTGTTTGAATGACTATTTACCTACAGTAGGCAAGCAAAATGTCCTATGTATGCATGATTTATTTTTTTATCACATTGCTAGTCAGATGGCAGGAAGTATAATGAATATAGTCCTAAGTAAAATCGAAATGATAATATTTGTAAATAAACCATGCCGTTAAACCACAAATAAACGAGTATTTGTAAATGTATAAAATGCACATTTTCATGCACTGCCATTCAAAAGTTTGGCATCAGCAAGATTTCTTTTCTTTTAGGATGCATTAAATAAAAAATAAAAAGTGACAGTAAAGTATAATTTTACTAAAGTTCTCTATTTCGAATAAAATCTGTTATTTTGAACTTTATCTTTATGAAAGAATCTGGAAAATATGTTTCATGCTTTCCACAAAATTATTTGGCACATTTATTTAGCACCCGAGCCACTTAAGCCTAGTTCACACTACGTGATTTTAAGCCCGATTTAAGCCCGATTTGCAAATCGTTGAGTCGCCGACAAGTCAGGGTGTTATCGCGTGCAAATCGCGGGCGATTAGCGGACGATTAACGCTCGCCAATCTGATAGTGTGAAAGAGCCAACAACGCATCAAAGACAGCTCGCAGACAGCTCGCAGACAGGTCACCGAGCTCAGAAAAATATCTAGCATGCTAGATATCTCGAGCAGTCGCGCGACTCAATCTCAGTGATGTCATGAGTACAGCCAATCATAGCAACGCATGGGTTGAGGACACCAGGTAAATCTTACTTTTTCTTTTTTGCATTTTTTTTTCTCAGAGCAGATCGTCGAGCAAACAGTGTGCAGCACTAGTTTCTGTCTGACATCCATATTCGCGTGGTGTGTTCTTCTCTGCAGTTTCGCGTCATTTCTGGTTCGTTTTATTGCGTGGTTTTTCGTGACAAAACATGGTTTCTAGACCAGATAGAATCGTGTTGTTGTCAACTCGTTATTTGTTTGATTATTTTCAGGATTTAGACCGTACTATAGTCCTGAAACAGCTCTCATTGAGTCACAAATGATATGCTCTTATCATCCGATCGTGGTTGTATCTCTATGTAGTGCGTTGTTAACTCGTGTAGTGAGTTACCTCCTGTTGTGGATCAATCACGTTGTGTTGTGTGGTGTGAACAGCTAAACAACTTGAACACTCATGATTTCACTGAGAGCAAGTCATGTAGTGTGAACTGCACAGTTCAGCCCGACATTTTAAAATCATGTAGTGTGAACTAGGCATTAGCAAATTTATTCAAACACAGAACAGCAAAAACGTTACCAGAAGCACCACAAATCATAACTGTACAAGTGCAGTGTTGTAGGACAAGCTTCGCACAGACAGCCTTTTCTGTTAAGAGCTGTAAGCTCTGGAATTCGTTTCCATCTGACATTAAGACTACATCTGACTCAAAAAAGTTCACTTCCAGGATTAAGTTGTGGCTAAAGAAACTGTAGCCATTTTAAATGAGTGAGTGAGTGTAAGTTTGAAGAAATGTGAATGTTTTATACTTGTATGTATCTGTTTTATGTACTTAGAAAAACCCAACCAGGGAGTTAGCTATAAACTTTATATGTAGCGCATCAGTTGCAGGATTTGTATTGTAACTATGTTTGACTGCATTGTCCCTGTTAAATAAATAAACAAATAAAATAAAATAAAAATTAAGCAGTACAACCATTTTCAACGTGGATATTAATAAGAAATGTAAATCAGCATATTAGAATGATTTCTGAAGGATCATGTGACTGAAGACTGGAGTATGCTGAACATTCAGCTTTGAAATATATTGAAATAGAAAGCAGTCATTTTAAAATGTAACAATATTTTACAATATTGTGGTTTTTATTGTATTTTTTTTTTATCCAATAATATGTAGCCTTGGTGAGCATGAGAGACTACTTTCAAAAACATTACTTTTTGAACAGTAGTGTACATTTTGGTAAAATGGCTCATTTCAAAAGTTTATCCACAAATATCCTCTGTTATTAATCATAACCTAAACGTTCTGTACAAAACGATTCCTGTCCAAAGAATGTGTTTAAGAGCCTATTCAAAGACAAACCATGCTTCTTTCTGTGTTTGCAGGATTGGCGGCAGGTCAGATGTACACCTACCCAGCGCGTTGCTGGAGAAAGAAGAGGCGACTTCACCCACCACTAGACCCGCAGCTTCGCCTTTGTGAACTCAGACTTGGTGAGATCATGATTGCGGCTAATTGTGTAATTTTTCTCATGCTTATATTTTGATTTTCAATTCTTTATTTCTGCTCTTTTCTATCTCCGCCCTTGCTTCTTTGCTCTGAGGTCATTCAGAGGCTGTAGAACTTGCCCATCTGTGTCTCATTATCCTTCCCTGTCTCTATGTGTGCCCTGATCAGGCCCCTTTAATCATTTGGCCATGCAGCATTAGAATGTAAGTCTAGGGAACTGGTGTGTGTGTGTGTGTGTGTGTCTGTGCTACACAAGGGCTCGAGGAACTAGATAAAGGCCTATCTGTAACAACAAGAAAGCCACTCTATTATTTTCTTAGCTGTCCCTGAAAATACAATAGCTGTAAAGCAATACATGAACCACTGACCTTCGCTTGGAGCTCAGCCAGCAGTTCAAAACTGATTTAGGCATCAAGTTGTGTGTGATCCGTTTCCAATAATGCAGATATCAGGATTTGAATGACAGAGCTAACTCCTACAAAGTGTAACGCTGTAACAGCAAATAAGCCCCTCCAAAACACCTCTCAAGTCACGTGACTGCTCTCTTTACTAGGGCTGTCAAACGATTAATCGCATCCAAGACAAAAGTTTGTTTTTACATAATATATGTGGGTGCACTATGTATAATTATTTTATATATAAATACACACATGCTTGTATATATTTATGAAATATTTTCATGTATATACTGTATATAGATTTATATATAATTTATATTATATATAAATATTTTATATATAAATATTTTTTTTCTTAAATATACATGCATGCGTGTGTATATATATATATATATATATATATATATAAAATAAATAGAAACAGTGCACCTACATATATTATGTAAGCACTTTTATTTTGGATGCTATTAATCACAATTAATTGTTTGACAGCCCTACTCTTTACACATTTGGCATGAATATATATTTATTGTAGTCTAGCGTAGTTCACCCAAAATAAAAGTTCTGTCATTATTTACACCCTCACATTACTCAATTCCTATTTAACTTTGCTCTGTGATCCTGCTGAATACAAGAATTAATTTCTTCTACAAAAAAAACAAAAAAACGAAACCTTACTGACCCCAAACTTTTGAACCATAGTGTTCTTGTATGCAATTAATGCGGTTTTTGGTACTGAAGCTTTCAAGCTTCCAAAAAAGATGTAAAAGCACCATAAACTATTATATACACTCTATTCAATGTTGCATAGTAGAAAGAACGTCAAACAGGTTTGGACAATCAACATGAAGAAAAGTAAATAATGACATAATCTTCATTTTTGAGTAAACTATCCCTCTAAGTTATGTGTTTTCCAGAGTCCTGGAATTGTAATATTTACGTGTATAGAGAGGCATAATTCTGGTCTGTTACAGGCAGCAGGGCACCCTGTCTGAAACATGTTTGTGTTGTACATTTCTGGGTGCTCAGCCACTGTAAACAGGTTTGGTGTCCAATATCCCATCCAAGTCTGGTTCATGATGACAAGCAAGCAAGTGTGATTCCAATGTGTTCAAATGCAGTCTTTTTCTCCACAGCAGATGTGGCATGTAGAATAGTCTCTAATTCAATAAACTGATTCGATTAGGCTAACAACACAAAATAGCTGCATCTCAGTAAACTGATATATTCATTATGCTCTGCATTTGCCATTTGAAACAGGCTCCTCTGAGTTATCTTGCTAAATTCTTAATTAAAAGCAGTACATACTCTTTCCAGTTAGTGCATGCTTTTTCAGTGCCAATGGCATGCATACATATCAGAGTATCACTGCATTATATTGCGATGATTAAAACCTTATGATTTGTGTCTGTAGACATCAACCTCTCTTAGCCTCTTGTCATGATTGGCGGCTGGAAACGGGGGATGGGAGGCTGCAATCAGCCCCTGACTGGCAGTCTGCGCTATTTTCAGCTCCTCTCCCAGGGGAAGAGTGTGTCTCGACTCAATCAGACACAAAGAGAATAAAGACAAGGACAGAGATTCATATAAACATTCTCTATCATGTACATACATTTAACAGGTTAATGGAAAGGAGTAAGAACATCTGGGGGCAACACATGATATGGCCACTACTTGTGGGAGCAGAAAACGATTCAAACGATGCGTCAGATCTAAGGGTGTATTTCTTTCAGCTCCCTAGTTCACTAGTACTTACTAATGCACTTTCCAGGTAGTCAGACATTTCTAAGGCTGCCCATGGTTCCACTGCACTGAAACATTCCCTCCCTATCTAGACATTCCCAGAATGCACTGTAACAACCCCTGAACATCAGTTGAATAGGGGAAGCTTGTAAGCCAGTAAAAAGTTATTAGAGTTATTAAAAAAAAAAGACTAAAAATTAACATGTTTTTTTGGTTCTTAAACACTACTGTTTTAAAGTGTGAGGTCAGATTTATTTTTCAATTAATACTTTTATTCAGCAAGGATGCATTAAGTAACCAATAAGGTACAAGATGCTGTGCTGTATCGTGGATAAGTAACGGTTGTTGTTAGGCACGACGTGAACCCCTTCAGCCGTTATTTCTTCACAATACGGCACTTGTCTCGAGCACTTTATTGCTTTTATAAACGGTTACCACACAATAAAATTATTAGAGTAAAAAAACATATGTATTGGTGCAACTTTCTGAAGTAAAATCACTAAAAGCCTTTCTTCCGCTAGAAAAAAATAGTCCCTGACCGTGAACAGCAACAACGTTCCAATGTGTAATATGCATGAAAGCTCAAATAATAACAACATACGAACTGCAATGTTGCGCAGTGATAAATAGAACCGTTGGGTGAAGCGGTCAGTCATAGATGTGTTTAATCATGAATAAGGCACAGCTATTGACCAATCAGAATCAAGTATTGGAACATAAATGTTTCATAAATGACAATAAAGACTGTCATTATAATGTATAATGTTGCATAAAGATTTCCATTTCAAATAAATGCTGTTCTTTTGACATTTTAATTAATCAAAGAATCCTGAAAAAAAATATTTCCACAGAAATATTAAGAATGATTTCTGAAGGATCATGTGACACTGAAGACTGCTATTGACTGCTGAAAATTCCACTTTGCCGTCACAAAGGAAACTTATAATATTATATGTATTAATAATTCTATTTTTACTGTATCTTTGATCAGATGCAGGCCTCATGTTGTGCATTAGAGACTTATTTCAAAAACATTTTAAAAAATCGTACTGACCCCAAACCGACTCCAGTTGTATATTTTGTTGTGAGGTATTGATATGTAAATTGTAAGCTTTTTACACCTAGCTTTATTATATTTGTTTAGTGTATGAAAGTTCTTTATATATGTACATAATCTGTTTTGCTTTAATTCGGGGTTTTATTTACACCTATAAAAATACATAACGCAAAATAGATACATTTTCACTAGTGTCCATTTTCACCGGTGGATTTCTGACCACCTGACACCCCGTTTTCTGCTTCGTTCTTTCTCGTTTAGAGGCTGAGCTAATGGCCAAAAGGGAAGCACCGCCGACGGAAGCCACGGCCCTGGAGGCACTGCTACGAGGTGACGGGATCTTGGAGAAGAGAAACAATAACTCGAAAGAGGAAGAGACACTACTGGAAATCCAGGTAACACATCGACAGTCATTTAAAATGCCGCCCATTCACTACATGACTTCCAAAGTCGTTGGATTGCTGTTCTTTACACTCTACACAACTGTATATAGTTTCCAATGTCAGTTCCAGTCAAAACACTAAAGGACTTGGATCGCTATAAGGTCTAAATATTTAACTTGTTAAATATCTCTTGAACATCTACGACGCATCTGTTCTCCTCTCAGATCATGTCATTGATAATTCAAACATTAGGATCGTCACTCACATAAACTAGCATTAATTTGCCTCTTGTTGTTGACCTCTAAAGCAGCACTCTGTAGTTTTTTCAACCTTTATAATATTTTTCCAAAACCCTTGAGATGGTACATCGACTTACAATAGGTTGAATGACCGGTCTGCCATAGCCTGACGTGGTCTCTATCGCTTTTACTGGCACTCTGTAACTTCGGGGTGCGGGTATGAACCCGAGCACAAAAAGAACTAAAAAATTCGACCGCTTTACGGCATACGTCACTTCCCCCACTTCCTCAAATTCCGACGCGAGAGCCCAACGACTGTATGTTGTCATGGCTGAAGCAAGTAAAACCAAATGTGAAGTGCGTCAGAAACAGAGTGCGTGGGCGATCAGTTTACTGTTGGTAATGTGTTGTGTAGCTTCGCACCTCGCTGCATCCAATGTAGACTGCATTGTTTCCTTTTGAGGGCGCTTAACACACTCAAGCATTACTGAGTTTGGTAGGGGCTACATTCTTGCAAGTAAATAATACATGATTAGATGAACGAAATAATCGATCAGGATAACTATCCTTTGTCTGCAGGCTGATAGTCATGTTTCTTGCTTATTTTTCTGGTGAAAGTGTCTTACCTCAGGATGTAATGCATGTGTGGGTGGCTTAAGGTACATGCTGTAGCTCTGTTCTAAGAGATTTACAGACAGCAGGGACAAAATAACAACAAAATACAAATAATAAAATGTAAGCATATAATCATGAATATTAAATAAGCTGTCTCTCTCAAGCCATGGAAAGCTTCTTCACTAGCTGCATTACTGTATGGTATAGAAGCACTACCAAACCAGATAGAGATGGTCTGAAAAGGTTTAGGGCAATGGCGCAGAAGATTATAAGATGCAATCTACTATCAATCAGTGATATCCACCATTCACTCTCACTGTAGAGTCCAATCCATCACCTGAGACCTCAGCCACAAGCTGTTTTGTTTCCTACCTTCTGGCAAACAATACCATACTATTAGGGCAAGGACCACTAGACTTGACAGGGCACAAATTGCAGCATGCTTTCTACACTATGCACTGCACACTACTATATATCTACTCAATATCACACAAGCGAGAGTGTTGCTCCTGAATATCATTCAGAAAAAAACACACAATTGCGAGTGCGATCTCGGTTAATATTATAAGTTTAACTTACATTTTAGACCTAATTTTGCCAGTAACTTTTTCAGTTTATGCATCCAAATGATGCTACAGATAAAACAGCCCTCGCATTTCCAAGCAACATACAGTAGATGGCGTTTTAGAAGTCTCTTTGAACTAATCGGTTGAATAAAAGATTTAATGGCTCACTCATAAAAACAGGCTTTTGTTTCATTCCTGAATGAATCGACATCTTTTAACAAATCAGTAGTTACTTTTTTTGTTTCTCGAATGTCTTTGAATGAATTACTTGAATTATTAAAAAAACTGAATCAGCATGACTGAATCAGCATCTTTGAACAGAGCGATTGAATGACCAATACATTGAGTCATAAAAACAGTCACTTGTTTTGTTCCTAAATGGATCAGCATCTTTGAATGAATTTGTTGAATAAACATGTCATTGACTCACTCATAAAGAATGGAGGATGAGAAATAACTGTTGTACAATTACACATACTTTGAGCTCAAATTGATAAACTTGCAAATTGATTAATATTTGTAGTGTCTCTTGTACTATGTCTCATTTTCTGTTTTTGCTACGAAAGTGTACGGCAATAAAGTTCTCCACTATCTCTCTCAATATGTGGACAATATGCATTGATCTTTGTCATCTAATCGCTTACCCCAACTTTCTTCATTCTCTGCAGAGGGTGCTTGATGCAGACGAAAATGGGGATGGTTTCCATGACGATGAGGATTTTGAAGTGGACACACCAAAGAGGAAGCATCGAAACAAAGGCAGGGTGAGTGATGAGCATGACTCATCAAAGTCTGTGGATGGTGTGAAGGAAAAAAGGCAAGTGAGAGCAAGAAAAAATGGAGGATTGATGCCAGAGAGAGAAATAAAACATGAAAGGGAAATACCTGACTTATCATGTGTGCAATAACAGAAAAAAGAAAATGATCTAAATAGTGATTATGTCATGTAAAAAGTGATGGGTTTTTTTTATACATTGATCAGGGTCGAGGCTCTGGGCGCAGGCGAACAGAAGCAGCGGCCAATGACGATCAGGATAAACCCTACGTTTGTGACAGTAAGTGTCAATTTCATCACTTTCATATTCAATGTGTGCCTTAAAGTCTAAGCAGCAACCTGGAATACATACAGTAAGGAACTAATAAGGTAAAATCTCATTTGTAATCTAAACCACCATTATGCATTTGAGTCCAAAATTCTACTTAGAAAATGTGATTCGAAATAAACAATGTATACGAATTTGGAAACATTTTAAATTTAACGTTAAAATGAATGAAAATATTTATGATTCTGCACTAATCAAATAAGCTAATTTGTGACATTCTTTTTTTTTCCTCCAAATTTTTTATTGTTGAATATAATTACAAATATATTTTTTATTTTTTTTAAATTATAAAAAGCAATATATAAGTCCAGTATATAAATGAGTATAACTTAGAAGTAGAAGTGTATAACAGTAGTATATATATATATATATATTTTTCATTTCACTCTGTTGTCTGTGTTAATCAAGAGATTTGAACTATTCTTATATCTTATTTTGGGGTCCTGAAAAAAGTCCATTTTGTTAAATGGTACCTGCCTGTGTTTCTCATCTTGGCATGGTCGCCTATTATAATATCAAGAGCATGTGACTACCTACCAGAGGAGATACTAGAGCTACTTTGGGTTCCAGAGGCCTCTCTGAATGTAACTTACTTCCTGTATTTTGTTTTCTGTCTCCTCTTTTGCTTTGTGTCTCCTCTGTTTCAGACAGATACAAACAAAAGCATAACTCAAAAACTGCTGACTCAGGTATTCAGCCATGTTGCCATCTTCCTCTTACTCGGACATATTGGCTATGCTAATGGCAAGGCTAATCATTTAATGCTTATGTCGGGGAGGAATTATTAACATTAATCAGCTGGTTCAGTCTTTTTCTCTGTAGCTTCTGTTGATATTTCACGCCGCTTGGTCAGAGCTATCATGCATGGCTAACAACACTGCTGCTAAAATAGCAAAGCTTGCTTTTTCATTGCTAAATCTAGATTTGCAGGCCCTGTTCTAGGTAATTCACTGCATTGCTGGAATGATTGACTCTGGATGTGCAGTTTTCTGAAACAAAATGCATGTAGTCGCTTCCCTTTTCTGGCTTAATGGTCTGTACAAAAATAAGGTCTGTTACATCAAATAGATTCTAGGGGTCTAAAGGTGCACATAGTCATTTTTGACAACAATTTATCCCTACAAAGAACTTGATTACAGTGATATACAATCACATTAGATGAAGACAAAGTATTGGCCTATAAAATTAAACAATATATTTAAGTGAACTGAATGTAATGCTATTGGACACTGGATTGCACATTAACTGCAATCAAATAAAAATGTATGAAAGTTTTATAGTTGTATGTGAAATATGATAAAATATGTGCTTCAGTATGTCATTTAAGCATAAATTTAACAATGACGCTAAAAGACAACCTAAAAACAGCATTGAAAAGCATGTAACTGTAATACAATTTACTTCAGAGTAAAATAAGCGATCATCAGGAAAAACTGTGGGGTGGGATTTCACCCTGTCCACTGGATTGGGACAGCCGGATTGATTGGACAGGCTTTTAGTATTAGTTCACATGAATATTCTCTGCCAGCTAGCCCTTGGTTACATAAACAGAAAAAAAAAAAAACATAATTACATTTCCCCCCCTTTAAAATCAAACATACACCCCTCTTTGAGGTTAAGCAGGAAAAACTATATAGAAAATGAAATGGTTTGTGGTTGTCTTCAAAGAAAAACATCAGTTTCTTTCTTAGTTTTATAGTTCTTTAGATACTGTACATCTTGCTTTCCTCCTGTATAGTTTGGTCATCCCTTTTTTATAGATTTGAAGTGAGAGAATTTATTACTGTGAAAATATTGTGCTTACCTTGCTGGTATTGCAGTCTGCAACCCACAGATGCTTGACATCTTTACTGCATCTTTTCTGTGCTGAGGTTTACATAATATGACAACAAAAGCCAACATTTTCAATAACAGCAAGCCATTTGTATCCTCTATCCATTAAACACTTCAATGCTATGCTGTGGTTATGTAAACTAATAAGCATTAACATGTTGGGCTGCACCGTTACCAGTATCGGTATCGGGCCCGATACTGAGTTCATGTACTCGTGAAAATGCTCCGATACCAACAACCGATACCAGGAAGCGTATGTACACATGTGTCCAGACAAAGAAACACTGACAACAGAAAGTATAATGAGTATAAAAAGAAGGCTGTCTATGAAGTAAATGTTATTGTTATTAGTGGAATATTAAACGAAATATAGTAACACATAGCTGTGGTGCACGAACTGATGAGATAAACACTAACAGTGGATTGAGTTGCGCGTTCAAGAGAACGTAGAAAATATATTCAAATGGGGTCCGTGCGTTCGGTCTTAAAGGGCCAGCAGTCTTATGAACTTGCTGCTGTGTTTTAATGTTGATCAAACAAAGGACAAATAAATTACTCACTGCTCTTGAATAAATAGGCTCCATTTTGTAACTTTACAAAAAGATCCATCTATATTTCATTTATATGCATATGTAGAGTTGTTTACACATTTGATTGATTACTGTAGTTTTTGTTGTAGCATCAAAATTGGAATAAAGAATTATTATTTCACTGGTGTCTAAACATTTGTACCACTGACCCAATCCTCAGCACTGAGCCCTTCTGGAGCTCCTCTAAATATGCTATTAAATGAAAGATAAAATATGAAAGAGCAATAGATGAAGAGTGAAATAACAGCATGAAATAAAACAGTCTTAATTAAGCACGACTGAAGGAAATATGTATTTGATTAACACATTAAGCCATCTAATATGATTTATATTATTTTGGTTTCTCTACCAAGACATTGTAAAATCACAAATGCAATGAAAAAACAGGTATCGGTTATACGGTATCGACGAGTACCAAAAATTAAAGTATCGGTGGTAAAAAAAAAAACAAATGGTATCGGTGCATCCCTACTAACATGTGTTTTCAGTGATTGGATCACTGTTGGATAGCACTTGACCACATTAAAAACTAGATATAAATGCACCTAAGATTTATCAGACAGATTCTGACCACATTCAACAAAGGTGCCATGCAATAGTAATATAGTTTTGTTCTAAAAAGCTCACTTCACCTATTATATATTCCTTAAATTCATGCAATTTACTGGTCAACGCCTTTAGGAGTACCTATAGGTGTTCATGAAGACATACTGTGGGGTTGCAGTGCTAATACTGTGCCTTAAACACCCCGCATGTCTCTCTTACTGGCTGAGAACATGCGGTGTAGATTTTGTGGTAGAGCTTTGATTTCGCTGCTAGTTGCTTTGTGAATTCCTTAGATATGTGTTAGTGTCCCTGCTTGATTATTAGAATAACTTTGAGACTAAATGAGAAGTGTTTGCCACTAAAATTGAAATCATTGTAACCAATGTTCTTTATCTTAGTCTGTGGGAAGCGTTACAAAAACCGCCCTGGACTAAGCTACCATTATGCCCATACTCACCTTGCTGAAGAAGAGGGTGAAGAAGAACGAGAAACTGAAATCCCCCAGTCTCCTCCTGTCCACCACGAAAATCACAAACGTAAGTTAATATTCCTGTTAAATGTGAAATAAATGTTTTAATATCTAAGCTGCTTCTGTTGTTCCAACACCCAACATGCCATGTAACAGCAAAATCCTGCTTGTAAAACGCCAACAGATAACGGCAACAACAAGCACAACAATGTAAAAAATAATTTAAAACAAGACCAACTACTCTACATTGTATCGACATTTATATATTCAGAAACACAAACACATATCCATGGAGATATTTCATTTTAATTAGATGGAAATATTTTCTATTGATACTTTTCAATACTGAAATCTTGTCATATATAACTCTTCCCTTTATTTTAATTTGCACTATTTTTACAGCACAGAAAGGTCCTGATGGAACGATCATCCCTAATGACTACTGTGACTTCTGTCTGGGAGACTCAGGCTCTAACAGGAAGACAGGCCAGGCTGAGGAGTTGGTTTCCTGTTCAGACTGCGGCCGCTCTGGTGAGTCCATTCACTTCACTGTATTCTCTATTACTCAGTTACAGTTACAGTATCTGCTCATGTTAGATCAAGTAGGGTTGTTTCACCTCCATCTAGCCTTATTCTCACTCTGAGGGTTTTTTTGCCATGGCATAGCCAACAGAAATTTTTAAAAAGAAATATTTTTAAAATGTATTGCCAGAACAAAACAAACAGTAAGAGCTGACAGTATTCAGAGATCTCTCTCTCTGTAATCAGTGTAATGGTGCTCTAAAATGGGCCAGATTACAGTGGGTACAGTATTTTTTGACTGACTACAAATCAGAAGCGCATAGATGTTTGTTTTATTGACGTGTTAAGTTTAAGTGATGTTAGTGTTCTATTTAAAGGAAGCAGAAATGTATGATCATCATACATACATCATTTTTTGTTTTTAAAGGATTTTAATGTGAAAGGGGTTTGAGGGTTTGCACACATACACATTGAACAACAGAAAAAAATGTAGCTTTTATATATACATAGAAATTTCATGCCTTTAACATTTATATTTTATTTTCTAGAAATTATGATACCAATTATAATAATTATTTTTAATATATTTTTAAGTTGATCTTAAAAAGCTTTAGCACATTCAAAGTAAAGCCCATGAAATGTAGTGTATATGTATCCATCAAAAGTAAAAATTAAAAATCCCATTTTAATGCTCTATCATGCCATGCATTAATAGCACATTTCATCAGCTTGTTTGAGCATGTCCCATCTTTTCGTGTTTTTTAGTTAGAGCATGTTTGTCTATTTGTTTTATGGAGTTTCATTGAGTGTGATTTGGGTTTGGCTTGGCATAACCGTGTAATATTGAAATGATTTCCCAGACACAGATTAATACTATTAGAAAGGCTTCTTAATGGAGAGTTTCCATTAGCAATGATTTAAAACCAGACTGGGCTTAATCTGTGCCCCGGAAAACAGCACAGTGGGTTCAGAAATATGCAGATTAGTGGTCGACCGATATTGATTTTTATTTATGGCCGATGCGATATCTTAGAGAGCAGGGTGGCCGATATAAAGCAGATATATTTATACTTTATATTCATCCTATTCCACTTAATATTTAACAAATTAGAAATAAATAATTTGAAATTGAGTTAAAAATTAAATCTGTAAAATAAACAGACTTCTAAATTAGATGTCAACTTCTTAATTATGTAATCATTTTGCAGTATTTTCACAAATAAAGAAATATGAATAAAACTATATTAGAAATATAATAAGAAAATAAATAAAAAGGAAGTAAACACTGTTACCAACAGAACAATCGGTAATCTGGTAAGTTTGTGATCACTGGGAATCATATTTTTTAAATAATGACAAAGAAACACGTTTTACATACAGCATAAACTGCGTAAACGGATAGTGAACTGGATATAGTGCAGAATATTTTGAAATTAAGGGTTTAAAGTTTGTCTATCGTTTGTCTGACACAATCAATCTCCTCTCCACAATCAATTCATGCACAGAATACACACGTTTTTATGCAAGCTACAAATGCACACTTCAGAAAATCTCACAGCTGGTGTCGGCAAAGTCTGCCCGGGTTGAGAAATAAAAATGGCAAATATCAGTCAATATATTGGCCATGGCGATATATATTGGTCGACCACTAATGCAGATTACCACTGCTTTAATACAGTTGTTTATCTGTTGCAGTCTTGGTGTGTATTCATGAATTCGTGCTCGATTTATAAACATGTTGTATGAAAAGCAACATGTGAGCAGAGATGGGACAGTATAATAATTTACTTACTAAATGTAATCAGTAACATAATATCACAATATACAAGTATTTGACTGCACTTGATAACTTTTGGATTTATCCTGCTTGTGACTTGAGAAAAAAATATATTATAGAAATAAAATACATTTTGTGAAACAAAACAAAAAAAAAATCTTTACAATTATATTGAACTTTTTTATCTTAAAATGTAGAATCATTGATTTTTTTTAAAAAATCATTAATACCGTTATTGTTTATTTGCATTATTTTCTCTTTCTAATATAAAATAGTTCTGCCAAGATTTTGATGCCTTACAAAAAGACATTTCAATAAAAATCATCTATCTGATATTCATTTTATGCTAAGACTGTTTTGACCATGGAGAAAGCAGGTGCTATTCTCTGTCAAATCGCTTTCTGCAAGGCTGATGCCAAAAGGTCCAAAAGCATCTTACATCAGGGCCATAACCACCATAGGCATTGAGGGGGACAACCCACCAATATTTAATATTTCTTTATGCTGTCATTTATTATGTATCGCTCTGTTTGCTGTTATGATGGCAGACAGTTTTAGAAATGTAAATTTTTACGTTGGTCTGACTCAGCGGTCCAACAGCGCTCGTCAATGTCAAAATGGTGACCAATCAGATCAAAGAAGGCGGAGCTTAATGTTCACTGAAGATGAGTGTGAATTCCAACACAATGCTTTTTAGTTTTTACAGTGAAAGAGTGCATGCGTGGTTAAATATAAGTAGCTGAACATAAGACTAATTTAGACTGCTTAGGTCGATTCGAAAAGTTTGCAAGGTGGCGGAAAACATTTGCTCTCTGTAATTATTTCCGGCCTTTAAAAAAGAATTTTCTTAAAGCTACACTGTGTGATTTTTACCCCCATCTAAAGGTGTAAAGATATATGACCATCCAGGAATATTAGTTTCTGTTCCTCTCAATTCCTATTTCGTTTTAACTCCTACGGTGGCCAATGTAGTCCAAGATTAACATGGCTTCCAGTTCGACCTCGTCCATGAGTGTTAACTCAAACGTAAATGCGAAAGGCGAAGCTTGAATTAACGGGTATGTCCCTCTTTGGCTAATGCACTTTCAAGATGGAGGGTCAACATGGCGACCGACATTAGTACCGCTTACCCGTATGTATTTTCAATTGCATATTATACACTCACGAGAATACTTTATTACTTGAACGAAGTGTGTTTTTAGCCAAGAATAAACTAAAAGAGTTACACAGTGTAGCTTTAAAAAAGAATCGTATCATGCTTGCATTTAGAATGTGCATTGTGTTTGTAGAGATTAGAATGAACGTTTAAATGTGACGTGGCCTTTTTGTTCATCTCTTCGAGTGCTTGTGTTTTGCGTTTTTTGTTTTACTCTTGCAAGCAAATGGTCCTGGAAGGGTCACATGTATATTTCCTTAAATTATTCAACTCTTAACATGCTCAAATTTAACTGTGTAGGGCGTTATCAATAATCTAAGTTCACATGTACAAAATATTCTCATATTCATTTTGCTCATATGCTTCCATTCTTTGTTTTTTTTCTTTTTTTGGCTGTGTGATCCATTGCCTTCTCATAATCGAACGGTGTAGCAGGCACAGGGAGAGACCAAATGATGTATTCTTCAGTAAAACAAAATATTGATATTGAAGGTACGGTTCATCCAGAAATGAAAATTCTGTGATTAATTACTCGCCTTCACGCTGTTCAAGGCCTGGAAGAAAGAAAGTCATACAGGTTTGGAACAACATTCAGGGAGTCAATAATGACAGAATTTTCGTTTTGGCTGAACTCTCCCTTTAAAAGATTTATGATTCACATACAGCTATTAAGGTGCTTTTATCTACAACCAATGATAAGCATATATTCAGGCAATCGCAAGGGCATCAGACATGCAAGCCGTAGTCCCTTTAATGTATGAGTAACTGCCAAGTACTGCAAGTTGTCCAAGCTCAGAGGAGTGTGAGTCCTAGCTGACTGCAGTGTTACTTGTGTGTGTTTCCACTGTGATGCTGATATGTCCGTCATGCATGTCAGCTGACCGCGTCGCTGGGACCAGGGCGAAGAGGAGGACGGGTGGAGTTCTGGACATGTTCGGCGACACGTCAGAAAGCGAGGCGTCCACCTTTCACGGCTTTGAGGAGGACGACCTGGACGGGCTTCTGTCCGACGACAGCACAGGCTCACCTCAGTACAGATAGACAAAGGAGAAACCTCAAGAAACTTTCGGCATGTGTCTGCTGCCTGTTTTTTTCTTTTCCTTTTTTCCTGTTGTTTTGCAGCAGCATGCATAATGGATTCACAACTCCAGACACAAAGTTAACTTCAGGAATTGCTTTCAAAGGACAAAGTTGCAGCCTTTTATAAATTAAGGAATGTTGTTTTTATTGCTTCTCACTTCTGTATACTGAGGGGTGCTAGTTATCGGACAGAGGAGCCATTACTTCTGGACTGTTTGTTTTCCGAAATGGAAAACACCGACGTTCCCCGGTGTGTGGACGTTGATTATACATCGGCATGTAAGATACGATGCCTACTATGAGGAAATTAACTTTAGAAATAGACATTACCGCATTTCAAACCTCAAGGAGGAGAAAATACTCAACGTGTGTCTGTAGGTCGGACAGTGGAGAGGGTTTTTTGATCCTACCTCTGGTTAAATACAATGTGTGCAAAGAAAGGGATCAGGTGAAGGCAGAAAGGGCTGAGGCCAGGCCCTGATTGGATCCAGAAGAAAGGGAGGACAGTTTGCAGAGAGGTAAGAGCCAGTTGGCATTTAAATGTCCATCTCTCCTCCTTTCTCAGGAAAGCTACAACAACAACAACAAAAAGACATTTGAAAGTCAGTTTACTGGAGGATACATGATACTTGGCCTCTCCCTAGTTTTGTTGAGTAAGAAGAAGAAAAAAGGACCGACTGATTTTTGGAGTAACTCCCCTTTACTATTCAGGAAAGTCTCCTTAAACAACAGGTACAAGAAGGGGTAGAATTGTAGCATATGTGCAATGATTCCCATGAAGGCTTTGTTTTGCAAATAAAATCTGGACCATTCACCTCTGTTAAGAGATCCAGCTCTGAGGATTGACTGTGTATGTGTAACTGCAAATAATACACTGGATTGCAAGCACATAAGCTTCCTACATTCAATGGGAAACGCAGTAAATGTGAACTCGAAAGCAGAATACATGCAATAAATGGCACAAAACACATTAGTCACAGGGACATCGCCCAGTTAATATGGGGAAATTTCATTGTATCCTTTTTTTATGAACAAAATTAGCTATATTCGCTCTTTAAAAGCTCTTCTATTTATTGTTATGGTGAACTCGTGTCACTTTTCAATTTAAAATGTTCCGTATTAATGCTTTCGATCTTGTCTCTATTTCAGGGCATCATTTTGGAAAACAAAAATATAATTTATTAACATATTGTATAATGTATATAAGCCCACAAATTTCTCCCAGTGTTTCAATGTCTAAACTTTGTTTAACATTTGAAGTTAATTTCATTTAATACCAAGCCAAAGGGCAACATGACTAGAGATGATGCTTGTAACTGCTTCTGTGAGTCATGCAGAACTGTGGCTCAAACCACACAGAACACACACTTCATGCAGCAAGCTGTCGTCCCTGCTGTGGTCGCTGCTGAGTCCTGTTACTCCAAATGTCAGCCTGCAAGTCTTTCACTGGATTTTGTTACTGAAAACATTAAACATGTTTCATTTGATGAATTACTCTGAGTTCATTTTGTTTCAAGGAAGGGAAACGGGACGTGTTATATGCAGTGACCTTAAACAGAATTTGAACACTTGCAAATGTCTCAATGACACTAGATTAGATTTACCCGTGGTTTCTCAGACAAGAATCAACTAAAGCTACTTCCAGACTAAAATGCATATTTTTATCTAAAAGCAACTTGCACTGACCTATCTTAAAATATGTCAGTGCCATTGTTTTGTCTCAAGATGCACATCAGTAATGTTTTTTTCTTAGGCATGTTTATAAATGAACTATGAACTAAGGTCTAATCCTGGCTTAAAGGGATACTCCACTTTTTTTGGAAATAGGCTCATTTTACCACTCCCCCAGAGTTAAACAGTTTTACTGTTTTCAAAACCGATTTTCTGATTTTTAGAAGAATACCAGTAACCAGACAGCTTCTGGTCTCATTGACTTCCATAGGAGGTAAAAAATATTCTATGGAAGTCAATGAGACTCTGAGGGTGTGGTAAAATGAGCCTATTTCCAAAAAAAAGTGGAGTATCCCTTTAATCTAACCCCTGTTTGTGAAACCAGATCATAAAATATCAAACTAATTCTGCAGGTCCTAAACCTCAGCTCAGAACAAACCACTTTTATGAGCCTTTTTTAACTGGTTCAAGGTCAAAAAGTGGATGAAGTCAGTTCCCATCAAGTTCAAATGGATGTTTCACTAATGTCTTACAAACAATAGTGTCACAAAATTGCCTTTATTTCGAATGGTATATTGTTTTATACATTGAAACCTCGCAAACTTATTTTTGTGAAATGTGTTGTTTGAAAAATGTGTGCCATATTTCTTTAAAATAAATGTCACTTTCTTGCGTTACACAAAGACATTCACACATTTTTGAGTGTTGCTTGTGACCAAATGATTTGGGGCCATTGTAGTTTATAGTTTCAATGTAATGTAGAGCATTGTATCAAAATATTAGACATAAAAAATATTTTTATAGATAGAATTTTTCATATCTGAGTTTTGATGCACATAATGATGTACTGATGGATCAACATCAGGCGTATTTCCATACGCTTGCAGGGAATAAATCGAGGCAAAAGATGCATGTCGGCATAATGTACTCAACACATACCAGGGACAGATCCACGGAGAGGAACGAGGTTCTGTAGCAGTGCTCGTAGGGAAAGAGCTTCACATAACATCCCACTTCAAGCCAAGACCCAACATGCTTTCCAAACTGGGAAAACTGCACATGCTCTACTGAGCATCCAAGCAAGAGGATCCTGCTGTTCTCACAGTCTCATGGAGGAAATGAGCAGGCAGAGGAAATGACACCTCCCTAGAAGACAGACAGACAGAGAGAGAGAGAGAGGCAGATATGAGAGATTACAGAACCATCTGGCATTTTCCAAACCTGTGCTCACCCTCTCTCTGTGTATGGAGGGTAGAACAGAAGGTGGAGCTGTTATAGGAAACTGTTGTTCGTTCGTTCATACAAATCATGTGTAATCACTTGTTTTATCTGTACATCTGCTACCATCTTTCGATCTATCCGTATATCCACCCATCTGTCCATCCATCCATCATTCATTCATCTTAAAGTACATACCCTATTTAATGATTAGTCTTATGACATTTTATCTGGATTTGTTTTTCTCGAATAAATTGCTTAGTACATCCAAAAACGATCTAATAGTTGTTAATGTCTGAGTTTAGCTACACTCGTTTCCATCAGATTATTCTCTCATCTTTCTCTTTTACCAGGCCATCCTTCATGTCTGCAGTTCACAGACAACATGATGCAGGCTGTGCGAACATACCAGTGGCAGTGCATCGAGTGTAAATCCTGCAGTCTGTGCGGCACCTCAGAGAACGATGTGAGTGTTTCAATGTGTAGAATAGTGTGTGAGCGTAAAGAAATAGTTTTATATTATCTCAAACAAGATGGCACTCTTTACTTGTACATTTGAAATTACCGACGGACCACTTTGCTAATATTTTTAACTATATGCCAGCCTCTTCATATGGTTGACACTCTACTAAATGGTTCACACACTGTGTGGGTGAGAGAGAGTTAACAGCTTGGTGATGCCGTCCTCTTGTAGGATCAGCTTCTGTTCTGCGATGACTGTGATCGGGGATACCACATGTACTGCCTCAAGCCTCCTATGACACAGCCACCTGAAGGTAAGATCACTTCACAGCAGCTAATGAAAATATAGGTATGAAAAATCACTAATCATATGCATAGCTCCAATTGTAAAATTTCCCATAGTGTTGTGTTGTTACATTTTACGTCTGGCCTATAATAACGTGCAAATATTCAGTTTTTCTCAGTCCCTTTGGTACATTTCTTGAATCATCCTTAAGATTTGAAAACCAGTGCATTTCTCAAAACAATTCGTACAGCACCACACACCAGAATGACAAGTCCTTGTGTCATTGTTCACAAACAAGTTGTTGTCAATATAGTCAGAATTTTTAGATATAAACTATGGATACGATTGATGACAATGACTGAAATTCACAAGAATGCACTTTATCTGTATGGCATTTATACATTTCTACTGTTTTTCCTCCCTACCCTTCCACCATGCATCCTCTCTTCTTCTTCCTGGCCGTTGACCCTGTTTGTTTCCTTGTTCTTTTATTGACAGAATTTCTAACACTGTGTTGTGCGCTGTCTGTATATGCTTGACAAATGAAGCTTTGCGAGATATACCTCTGAGCTATTTTGGAGAACTGCTCCATCATTGGTTGATCTAGCCCTTTACATTTGTCTATCTGCATCCACAGGAAGTTGGAGTTGTCACCTGTGTCTTAATCTGCTGAAGGATAAGGCATCTGGTTTCGGAGAGCCGTAAGCGTTGTGGTCCCATACAGACATGCTCAGCAGACTCAGCTGTAGTTTTCCTCCTGTAGTGTGAAGTGGAGATTTCCTCTACCTCCGTGTTGCAAACATTTTCCTCAATCACGTCTAGGCAATCGACAGGTCAATCACATTGTGAATCCAAAGGCAGGATTGAGGCCAGATTGTCTGCTCGCCTAGAAATACAACTCATATTTATATAAAAAAAGCACTTAGTTAAATAGCAAAATCCGTATTAGAACTATATTGCGATTGAATGAAGTGATAATGAAACTCTTGTACACTCTAAAAATCTCCTGAGCTGTGATTCTAAGGCATTATTTCTTGGAAATTACGATTGACAAAAGCAGTTTTAAGAAATAGCATATTTTAAAGTTAAAATCATGGTGACAAGCTGTTTGTACTGTAAATCTGTAAGAAGTAAAAAGCAACAAACTTACCCAGAGACACACGCCAGTGGTATAAAGCAGAACCATTTTCATTTGATTTGGTTTCTATTCACTTTAATCATGTTTTTAATGTGTGCAAGATGCAAGTTCACAGGGTTTTTTTTTTTTTTTTTTTTGCAAAGACATTTTTGGCTTGCACAAAGAAATAAATAATGAGGATAAATGTAATTAGAAGCTCATCTTTCTTACTGGGATCATCATTCAGGTAGACATTTAGAGCTTAGTGTCAGAGTTGTTGTGAAAGCAATCTTTTATCTAAATGGCAAAAAAAAATCCATGTATCAAAGCAGCACTTATAGTTTTCAGGACTGGAAAATAATGTTTTTTATTTGTTTTTTTATATATATATAATTTAGTAGACAATCGTGTGGTTGGTAAGTTACATGATAAGCCATCATATTCAAATACACTTAATGCTTTTCTTTGCGCAATGACAATACTGGCATGCGTTGTATTGTCTTTTCAAGCCTGCTTTTTTAGGTTCTATTTTCTAACTATTAAGTGTGAACACATTGAGTGTTCAAATCTTTATTTTATTCTGTGTCTGACATATCTGGTTATGCTCCAGGAATATTTTAGCTTTGTGTCTGAGAACCTTCTATTGTTCCATCCGCCTATTTGGAGCCCTCATACCTCTCCGAGTAAAACATCTGTTCACTCCATTTTGTATTTCTTTGCTCATGATATATTAGCATTTCTATTTCCATCTGGACATTCTCTCATGTCATTCCCAGCTCCTTCACCTGTATAATACATTAGAGGCTCTATTTTCAGAGCCAATTCATCAACACTCTCCAGATCGATCTGTTGAATATTTTAGCTATGCATTTTTGTCTATTTTATAGGTCATACATTACATTTACATTTTTTTTTTTTTTTTTTTTTTTTGGCAGATGATTCTTCAGAAAGGTTCAAAAATCAAAGTAGTCTTGTTAAATGTTTAGAGTTTCTTTATCTACCACAGGTAAACCTTTGGAATATAATTTTTGTTTAGAATAAAAAGAAAAGAAAAGAAATGACTGAATAAAATGAAAAAGAACTGACAGCTGATTTTTTGGGGAAATTTTCATAAATTACTCTCCCTCAAGTTCGGTAACCAAACAATTGATGGACCTCATTAACTTACATGGCCTATTTTTATTTTCGATGGCCTATTGTGGAAGCTAATGGGACCTATCAACTGTTTGGTTACTAACATTCTTCGAAATATTTTCTTTTGTGTTCGGCAGAAGAAAGAAATTTGTACAGATTTGGAACAACTTGAGGTTGAGTAAATTACAGAATTTTCATTTTTGGGTGAACAACCCCTTTAAAAAGCGACGACATAGTTAAGTAGCATGCAGCTTCAACATGTAGTGTAGGGTCGTTCAATACCAACGGATTTCTTCTAGTCCAAGAGTAGAACAACTCAGTTTTGAGTTATAAGGACGATAATCATTCCATTTATTTTGTGTCATGGCCTGTTACAATGACATTTCTTGTATATAATCACCTGTAATACAAACACAAATGTTGAATACTTTTTAATCCTTTCCAGTCACGAGAATCGTTTTGTACTTAGTTTTTTGTTATGTCTTAGGCCCTTTTCTTATTCTTATCCTTGTTATAATGTAATAAAAAGTTCATTAAATCCAAGGCTCGTCTGATTTCATGTTTTTTTTGTTTTGTTTTTGTTTTTTTTACGAAATTGGTTGTACCGCTCATGCTTACCACTAGAGAGCAGCACATACACATTAATAGACGAGCCTTTCCACCTTTCCTCTATATTTCAATCGGTTTCATGAAATCCTACCCCAACAACATTTGACGAGTTAAATTTAGCTCAAGGAATCACAATTCTCTGATATAGCCTTATATGCCACAACAAACACTTAATAGATGTTTAATGGACTATCACGCACAGTTTAAACTAAAAATACATGACAAAATAGTCCGAGCATAGAAAAATGAGCATTCTTGAGCTCTCCAAATGAAGGTTTATTGAAGGTTTCAGGACTTCATCCTTTCCATTATCTTGACCTATTGCGTTCTCATCTTTTTCCCGTCAATGAAAAAAAATTAAATAAAAACAAAACCTAAAGGCAATACAAGTCTTTAGAAATATTCCATGCATAGTTTTGTGCTGAATATTGCACCTCTGCCTCTAAGTTATATTCCACGTTAAGTATTCTACATATAATCTTCCATATTCAGGATTGCTGCAAAGTCTATACAATCAATTTAAACCTAATGTACAGTTATGAGTCAAATCAACTACCTGAAAATGTTTAGAGGAAATGTTAACAGAACACATTTCCGTTCTGCCATTTGACCAACTTTTAAACTTGTGGCCAAATGAGAAGTCTGTGTCTTTGGCAGTGATGCTGCTTCAGGGAACAATGGAGATTGGCTGCTAAAATATGTTTCTAATAGATGGCAATCCCACAAAAACATTGTCTACTGTTGATATGTTAAGAGTGAAGGGCTGTGATCTGCAGATATTTGTGCTTAGAGCAAATCATCATCAGACTAATCACTACATCGACACCGAGCAACATGAAGCGCTCACATTCTACGCACATTGACTCTACAATCCCTTACATTAAAGCAAACCAAGCCCAATTTCATATTATGGGGAAAAAAGGTAAAATTATGAGTCATAATTCATTTTTTACACTTTAATAATAATAATTTTAGTCATATTTTGTGTATAATTTATGTCTTTTTATCTCACTTTTTACATTTTATCCCATACATGTCAATCTAATAATTGACTTAGTATTTTTATGTGGTAAAATGAGCCTCAATAAATGCTCCTAAATCATTTAAGGTTGTTATTTGTTATTAAAGCTGTTCAGGAAACACACTGACCAAGCATCTCTGGCATCCAGTGTTCCTCACACACAAAAGCTCTGACTCATCCTACTAACACTTTTATTGTCCAGCACAGTATTTCTTAATTCCTCAATAAAACTGAGTCTAAAAGGTATCAATCAACATCATTCTCATCTCAGTTAGAATTATCATGTGCTAATAGGGGAGTATATCACATCCAGTAGACACAGAATAAATAATTCTAGTTTCATCAAAATGGCAGGAGTAATAACAATGTGCTTTTCTGATCCCCTTCGCTTCCACATTCATTCTTCATATTCAGTGACTGTTCAACACCAAGAAAAGTTCTGTGGAAACCTTAACCACAGTCACCGAAAGCCCTTGACACGTTCTTCGCTGCTTTGGAATGCTCTGAAGATTTGAGACATCCTCGCTTCATCAGATTTAAACATTGACGTACCGGACTGATTACTGCACACCTTGTTTCTCTGACAGTGAACGTTTTTAAATGGACATCCAGCGAGACAGTCCTGTCCTTTCTGCAGTTTGGTTATAGGTATAATGGTTCTCTAGATGGTACTGGGAAGTCTGACATTCATGTATGCAGTCTGTGCTGTCGCTGATTTAATAGACACTGTTGCCGTTTGGAGATTTTCTTGGACTTATTGCATGCTGCCATCTAGAGTCGGTAGCTGTGCGGTGTACCGGTGGGTTTTGGAGAGAGGGTGGTCCGTACACATGGCCCGCCGTGGCCACGATGCTTCCACCCCAAAAAACTGCAATTTCTCTGGAGGGGTCTGGACTTCTGAACAGCCGGGACTCGTCAGGAGGACTGCATGAGGCCTGTCAGGCGTTTACTTGTCAGAGACTTGCCCTGAAACACAGTTACATTATTATTCAATGTCAAAACTCTTTGTCATATAACTCAGTCAGTTAGCAGAAAACTTCATTCTGCTCTTGCGATTGACTCATAACATTCATCAGCAAATTCCAAATATAGTGGCGTATAATTTATACAATAACGACATATGCATTTTTACTTTATAACAATATAAATTGCATGTACTATATGTATTTCTATGTAATGTATTTATTTATTTATTTTATCAATTCTAGATGTTCCTATTTTAAAATAATGTAATTAAATTATTTATAACACACACACATAATGTATACAATGTATTTATTTGTTAACAATATTATCAAAGACAGTGTGGGTGAAATGAAATTATATTTTAAAGTAAAAAAAAAATATGCAGAATTATATCTAAATATATACTATATCTATATCGAATTAACTACACTGTCCAATGAAATAAGCAATAAAAATAAATTCTGTCCAGTGACAGCGTAAATAAAATACACATGACGGCAAAATCCTATACTGAACCCATACGCCTTATTCACGGCAGCGCTATCTTTGATTTTTAATGAGAATGAAAGCGAGGCTGTGAGGGATAGACTTGCATCTCTTCAATGGGCTGTACTGTTATTTAATGTGTTTTCGGATTGTTCTGCTTATGAAACACTGGGAATATATCTTTCAAAGAAATATCAGTTGACAAAAAACTCCCGACAATGTAAGCTGTGGAAAATTGTAAGTAATCTAGCCGCTTTATTCAGCTTTTTACAGTGGATGCCATTGGAAACACGGTAAGTCTATCCCTCACAGCCTCGCTTTCATACCTGTCATGGCGCTGCTCTGAATAAGGTCTATTACATGTTTTTTTGAGAAAATATCACATTTTCTTGTGATTACATCTGACCACCTTCCAGAACACTGAGGTAAATTTAAAAAAGGATTGTTAAGGCAGACTTATTTCTAGACAAGAGGTACCACTCACCACAGTGCGAGTGAATTTCTCCAGGGATGTGCGGCGGCCTTGCTCAGTCTCAGGCTGTGGAGCCCAGGTTAATGGAGGGGAACAGGGGAAGAAACAGCGCACAGCACCAGGTTAACATGTGTTAGTACAAAAACATTCAGGACAATTAATGTTAATCGGAAACAATCACACTGGGGACAAGACAAAATGAAACTTCACAACGGCACCCATGTTTAGTCATTATAAGTTGGCAATAGATCAATGCCGGGGACACACTTAAAGACTAGCTGAAACATTCTATGACTGAACACACTTACAGACTGTTTCCGACGACTGGAGCAGATTTTAAACACTCTGAATGTAACTGTCTCTGACTCACAGTAGTAAGTATCAAATTACATTCATAATTGGATTCGGCCTTACAGTCGTTAAGTGTGTCCCCAGCTTAAGTCGGCCATTAGAAGATAAGTTGGCTTAGTATGTTTTAATAAGTGCAAATTGAACACTTGTTGGAAATCTTTTCATTCAGAGCTTTTGTTCATTTTGTCAAAATGAAACTACAGGCTGAAACACTGTCCCTAAAGTCAAGAACTGACTAGGAAGGAATTTCTGCAGGAACACCAAACACACACACACAAAAAAATTGGTTTTACTTTTAAGCTGTCTTTCTAAATCTTCATTTTGCATGGTCGGATCAAAAAAAAATATATATACAGTATATCTTTTGGCTAACAATTAGCATGTATCGCCAAAGTCCAAGAAAGTCAATAAAAATTGTCTTAAATTAAAAAAATTATTTTCTGTATTGACTTTACAGGTGTGTACACCTTTAAAGGTGTTTTTTTTATTATTACATACTGTATTAGGTTTTTGTATTAAAGGAAACATCTGTATATTATAGCTGAAAATGACAGTTTTTCTATGGATATTTTTCTGAGATGCACTGATTTTGCTAAGAAATGAAAAAAGAAATGCAGAAAAACGTATCCAGATTACACACGGCAGAAATTGCCACAAGAGACATTTGAGATTGAGACTAACCTTCTTTCTGGCCAGCAGGAGGTCCTGGTAAGCACTGGAGCGCAGGAAACGAGGGTAGCTGTCACTCTTCATCAGTTTGTAGATATGGTCCTGAAAGAGAAAAACGTTGGAGGCTGACAGGAAGGCGAAAGAAAAGTGCCTGATTGCAAAGTAATGAGAATCAGGCAAGAATCTTCTAAAAAACAGCTTCCTGTCCTCATGATCCTGCTTCTTATCTCAAGCATAACTTCACATATGCAAACAGAAATAAATCTCTAGGTTCTCCCAAAGGAAGTATCAATCTCTGATATATAGCAGCAGGAGTAGCGAGACCGCAAATTCAAAAGTAATGTTTCACTAAAGCTGCACTTGTTTTTTTTCTTCCTTTATTACTGATCAGTAATTTCATGAATTCTTTAACATTCATCAATTATTCTGAACGCAGTAAGCTTGCAGTCGGTGACAGTTTCTGGAATAAAATGGATTTCATAATTCCAAAGAGAGCGTATTTTTCCCTGCTTCTTGAACAATGCCTGTTATTCTGTCTCTTTCATCAACCATGTAAATGTAGAAAAATGAAGGAGACAGACATAAGGCAAATTCTCTTGAACAAAGCCATGAGGACAAGGACAAGGAACAGATGATCTATCAGCATTACTGAACATCAATCTCCCCGAATGGCCCAAAGCCTTTAAGTTCCTTCTCATCAATTCAAAGAATGAAAAAAGATTCTGCCTTGGGCACAACTTGTCCCTAAGTGCAGCTTTAATACTCCCTCCGTCCATCACAAGACCTAAAAGCCCTCAAACATCTGTAAATGTGTTAAGCGTTCACACTATTTTTCATAATAAAATGTATTCTCATTTTCTTCATATAGTGGGATCATTTTCCCCAGAAGTGTAGAAAGGGTGTGGGAATAGTGAAAAGGAACAGCGGACAGCTTACTCACCTGGGCATCTTCAAAGCTGTAGCGGCCCGCGTCTTTTAGATTCTGACTGGTGCGCTCGTAGCTGTGCGAGTCCAGATTGATGGCATTGGGAGCTCCTTCTGCAAGAAACTCTTCCCAGATCTCCTGAGCACGAGCTGGCACTTCCTGCAGGGGGCGGCTCTTCAGATCTTGCACACCCAACCAGAACCTAAAGAGAAAACAAAAATAGGGTGGGATAGTACAAATCAAATGAACTTCACATATGTGGGTTTTATTGTACAGATGAATGATGGACGCTACAGTTATAAACTGACAGGACAATGTTAGAGGATTTGGAACAGATCCCGAGCTCCATTGACAAACATCTAATCTTGTAAACCAAAACGGTTCAAGGTCCAAATGAGAGTTTCAGTGCAGCTTCAAAGGGCTTTAAACGACACCAGACGAGTAATAAGGGTCCTTCGAGTCATGACTCGAAAAACAGATTTGTTCATTTTGATGAACGAGTTCGAACAGGAGAGTCACAGAGCGAGCATTTGTGCTTATAAAACTTAAACTTTTTTATTTATTTTTTAAATGACTGATAGTTTCGCAAGATAAGACCCTTATTCATTGTCTGGTGTCATTTAAAGCCTTTTGAAGCTGCACTGAAACTCTCATTTGGACCTTGAACCGTTTGGTTCCCATTGAAGTCCATTATATGGAGAAAAATCTTGGAATTTTTTCATCAAAAACCTTAATTTCTTTTCGACTGAAGAAAGAAAGACATGGACATCTTGGATGACATGGGGGTGAGTAAATTATCAGCAAAAGTGAACTACTCCAAAGTGAATGCCAGACTATCATTCCTGCAATTTGATTTAAATCATGCAGCATGTTTCTGTTCCACGGCCATGTTCACTCACTAAAGCCAATTTTTACTCCCAATCAGCACTTGGCGAATACTGATGTTTAGCACTTTACAACACTGATGGCAATGGCATTCCCAAACTCTTTAATAACAAGGTTAATTATTGAAGCCAGTACACACTTAGCACTTGCCATGACGGAAGGGGAGATAGAAGCAACTCCTCCTCTCATATCAAACTTGCTCTGTAGCTCTATTGATCTCTGCAGTGTAGAAGTGGTTTAGGGCCTGATGGGCCCAGGGGAGAGTCAGGCAGTCAAGAGGACACATCACTTTCACTCTCCTCACAGACTGGCAAACATAAGACAGCCCCCACAGAGGCTATTAAATGCCTAGCTGGGGGATACGTGGAGATGCGAGAGAAAGAGGAGGATGGGAGATGCATGGAGACAAGCAGCATTTTATCTCAAGCCTAGTCAACTTTATGGCTCCAGTGACCTGCATTATCTCTGAAACTCCCTTCGGGGCCTCGCTGTCCTGGTTGGGCATCTCCTGGGGCCCACCGCTGCCTCGTTTGCCCCACGATGCCTGTGTTTCGCATTAGCTTATCACAATGCATCAGTGATCAGGCTTTGGATGTGGTAATGATCATGTACCATCCGTGAATTTACTCGCTCTTTCTCATTGGCGATATTAAAGCGCAGCTCTGCGGTTGAGGTCTGACCTTTTGCTTGCCCTGTTCTGCTACATTTTGTGCAAGTCATTAAAACAGCCGAGTGGGAGGTTAAGAGAGGGATGAGTATAAAGTGGGAAATGTCACAGAAGTGCAAATGAAAGGAATATGCTGATGAAAGGCTCACAGGAGGTTCTCGGAGCTGAATTCGGACTCCAAGAATTTAAGGAACTGCTCACGGCCCACTGGGTCCTTTAAAGCCTCGTCCAACGAGAAGCCCCACTTCTTTACTCGCTGTTGACTCGGGTCCTTACTGAGACAGACAGAGAGCGACAGACAGTATTTTATTTATTTAACTTGCATTGCGGTATCTACTGACAGCAGCTACTGCTTTGACAGCACAATGTACCATTGTTTGTCAAATTAACAAGACAAAGATGAAAACAAAGAGAGAAAGAGACAGTGTGTGTGTGTGTGTGTGAACACAAGATCGCTTAATCATGTCTGATAACATTTGTATATTAGTCTTTGAATAAGTAACAATATGTAAAGCTCCACAGGAGTGCTCAGCTTAATTTCAATATCTGTTCATTAACTTAATAAGGTAAATTAGTCAACGTCTTTTTGCATAATTAAGTGACAAGAGTCACATTGTGAACATCCAGAAATGAAACTCTAGGATGAGTGTGCGTGTGGGATGCATTTATGAATTCCTGTCAGGGCATCTTTGAGGCAAACAGAGAAGGAGGAACCTGGAGTGTTATATGCGGTTCAAAACAACATAAGGACTTTGGCAGACTACTTGAGATATTCAGAACAAGGTACTACATTAGTCACAATCCTGACAAGAGGTCTACCAATCAGAGTAGTCAGTGTTACTATGGAAACATGACTTTCCACGTCTTCCCCGCACTCTCAATTTCAAAGTCCTATGTTCTCAACTACAGTTTTCTCTATATATTTTCAAATCAAGTTGTGAAATACATGACTTAAAATCAGTTTGTCTACAATTCAGGAATTGTCAGCAGACCTTTATGTTATTTTAGGACTGTAACACAGAATACAGTCACACAAGACAAACTTCAAAATAAAACCAAAAATAAGCATAAAAACAAAAAGGTGGGGTTACAAGGTTAAAGGTTACAAGGCGGAAAATTAACAATTAGACCTCCTCCATCTTCTTCCTATCATTTAACGAAACCTGACTAGAGAATAGAGAAATCTAAAAAGAGCGATGTGATATTTAGGTTTTCATACCTAGCCTCCAGCTCCCAGAAAGTGACATCATCACCGATCCAGGGGTTAGATGGATCTGGTACTGTCACAAATGGGTCATAGTCAAGATACTGCTCAGTGTAACTCATCAATCTGCAAGAGAAAGGTATGAAATCATATTTATATTTCAATATTATTGTAGTGGAACAACATTCCAATCAACCAATCAGATTTGAGGGTCTAGTTACAGTTAGACATTCTAGTAACTAGAAGTAACTTTGCAACAATATGTCAGCAACCAGTTATTAGAGTATTAATAAACTGTCTGCTTAATTTCTGCTAACACTTTATTTTGATGGTCCCCCAACAAATAATCTACTGATTATAAGTATTTTTGCAAATAAATGTCAAATTTTTTACCCCAACCTAACAATCTACTAACTAATACTCTAATGAGAGTTAGCTGACAAGCTAATTATAGTTATTATATTCTCTGTGGAATGCTTGATTCTGATTGGTCAATCGTGCCATCCAGTGGTAAGTTATTTGTCGATAACCACCGTGGAAAACAGATAACACAGGCTCATCTGGGTTACTGAAGTCAGCAGCGCTATACGCTTGCTAGGAACGCTTGCTTATTCTTCGTGGAAGTTTTGCAATTGGTAAGCTAATAAAATATTAAAACTCAGTCAAATCAATATTTTGTGTACAGTTATTTAATTATGCCATCCAGTATCGTGGACTGGCTCTCCCTTGTGTTATCCAAACGCAGCTGCTTTCATGACTATTGTTTTGTACACTGTTGCTACAAACAGGTATGATTTTAAAACAGTTTAATCTGAAATCAATCTCTCTTATCTCCATAATTATTTATGCGGTGAAATGCTGTGTAGTAAGTGGTAGGACTGTATATGCATCCCTTAAATGTCTGTATAGTTTGAACTTGTCACGCTAGCAACTGTTCTCTCTGCTGAAGCTTTGTGTTTAAAAAAAAAATATATATATATACAGTATATATATATATATATATATAGGCTATATATATACTGTATATATATATATATATATATATATATGCTATATACAGTATATATATATATATATATATATATATATATATATGCTATATACAGTATATATATATGTATATATATATAAAATATTTCAACTCAGATCAATATTGTGTCTAATTATTTAGGCTACTTATGTGGCAAGTAACCGTGTAATAAGCAGGATAATGTACATCCAGCTGGTGGTTATCTCAGAATAAATCCTCTTCAGGCTGATGCAAGACCTTGTCACCCTGTCGGGGGTTTATTCTGAAATAACAACCGGCTGGATGTACATTATCCCTGGCTTAGTAGAACTTCAAAAGTGGACCATCCAAATAAAGTGTAAACTGCCTGTTATTGTTTAGTTATTCAAAAACATCCACAACCAATCTGATTCCTAAAGGAAAAGTTGAATGTTAAACATACAGCTCACAATTTGTGAAGCGAAGTTCATACTGTATGGGATCTTGTAGTTAAAGATACACATTCTGTCAGTAATACACATGAAGGTAAATAGGACTATTAAGGAACCAAAATCGTTAAGAGGAATCTGGAAACATTTAATTCTTTATGACTCCCATCCCTAACCTAATATTAAAGGGATAGTTCACTTTTTAATTTAAATTTTGGTATGTTTTAGCTTACCTCAAGGGCATCTAAGATGTAGGTGTCTTTGTTTCCGCACTAGTTTCAATTTTGATACTTTAAGGTCAAACCGTTCTTGTCTGTCAGTCATATAATGCAGGTCTATGGTCACCACCTCACAGAGCATGCACAGAGAAGTCCAAATTAAACATGATTTAATGACTTGTAAATGTAAGTACACATTGATGGCCTAAGACACGAAACGAGTGGTTTGTGTGAGAAAATGAACAGTATTTATATCGTTTTTACCTCTTGTAACCACAGCCATGTCTTAGGCCATCAATGTGCACTTACAGTTTATTTTGGACTTCTCTGTGCATGCTCTTTGAGGTGGACATATACCTCCATTATATGACTGACAGACCCATATACCATCATTATTTGACTGATAGACAAGAACATTTTGACCTTAAAATATCAAAATTGAAACTACTGCGTAAACAAAGACACATACATCTGGATGCCCTTGAGGTAAGCTAAAACAAACCAAAAATTAATTTCAAAGTGAACTATCTCTTTAATTGCATGTATTGACATTTGATGAGAAAAGTTTGAGTTTCATGGACAGAACAAAAAAGAGGACCTACGTATCAGCGACTTTGGACACTTTCATACAGTGTCGATCCAACTGAGTGTTCAAGAAAAGAATCTGAAAAAGACAGAGCATCTCCACTTGAGCATGTGAGTGATCTGTGCTAAATAATAATAGCCACAGTGAGACTGTCAAGAATCAAATTCACAACAATCCTTCGCACAGACCTCTTTCTCTACGTCCTCTCTGGTGTCCTTGTGGCTCTGCTGTGAGGGTGTGTGTACAGGACTCTGAGTCTGTGTGTCATCCACAATCCCATACACTGACTGTGAAACAGAGACAAAGATGGCTTACAATACAACCATTTGTCTCATACAGTACATTACACACATTAATACAGCATCAGCACCTTTTTCACTCTTTGAGGATTCTTTAGACGGCGACACTTCCTGATGTCCATCTCTGTGGTGTTGACACACCCAGGCTGTGAATAACAATCATATGTAAATATAGCTATTAAAAAATTGATACGATGTGCAAATTTCCCACTATGATCATCAATCACACAAATTGCTGCACCCAATAATTACACATACTGTTTTTTTCCTCCCTTAAAAAATATGTTAATGTGTTACCTATAAAGTTAAAATATTCGATAACACTTATGAACAGGGTTCTATTCATTAATATTAGTAAATGGAATAACTAAAATAAAAAAGCAATGAATAATAGGCTACTTTTACAACATATATTGAAATCGGTTTATGGAAAGTTCACCAAATAAAAAAAATATAATTCTGCCATCATTTTCTTACCCTCATGTCATCCCGAACCAGTAGTATAACTTTATTTGTTTTGTGAAACGCAAAATAATATATTTGAATAATGCTGGTTTTGGTTCCCATTGATTTCCATTGTATGGACAAAAAACACTGAGACATTTCTTAAAGTATCTTGCTTTCTACACGAGACAAATTCACAGATTTAAAACAACACAAGGTCGAGTAAATGATGACAGAATTTTAATTCTAAAATGTTGATTTCTACGCATTTTAACAATTCAAGTATGTTTAAATTGTATTTTTATTTTTATATTTATTTATTTTATTTTATTTTATTTTTATATTAAGCTAAATAATAAATGCTGTAAAATGTTCAGTTCAGAATACCAAATGCATTAAATGTTAACAAAATTGAATATTATTGTACTAAATATATTTACAGTACTACAAATGATATTAGAAACTAGTTTTGACCGCTTCAAAAATATTTGTCCAAAACGCACTAATTTGCACAAATCTGAAGGAATCAGAGCAGATTTTTTTAACATTATTTTGGGGTTCAGCAGATATTTTGAAGTTGCCTCAAATATCCTTTTATGTACTCAAGAAACTTCAAAATGTATTTGCTTTGAAATGCCCCAAAGTGCCTCATTTTTATTTACTAAAGCATCAACATAGATTGAGCAGGAACTTCTGTGTTCCATTTAGCAAGAACTGCCCTTTTAAAATGAGCCTTGAGGTTTTCCAAAGTGCTAATCTACAGAACCACAAATGGTGTCTCAAGTACTTAAATTTTACAGTGTGCCTATTTGATCTGTTCAGTTCAAACAAAGAAACACAGCAACCCATCCCACACTGGATCCACATCCACCCCTCACACACACCACAGGACGGTGAACATCCCAGAAGGCTCTCTCTTGACTATCCAGAATCTTTCTCTCCGTTTTGTCTTTTTTCCTGTCGATCCTACAAAATCAAAGAAACACAAAGCTGCAAGACATTAATATTAAACAGAGAGCAGGAAACGTTCCCAATCCCCCAACCACACACACACACACACACACACACCTCCAGCATCACACGTTAAAACAGACAAAGAGCAAAGCCCTTGTGCTCATCAAAGTTGCAACCTGCCTGCGAGCAGAGCTAATTCATTTCCATTCCTGCCACTTCACTCTTACGTAACTGACATTTGCTGCATTGCTCTCTCTCTATCTCTCACTGATCCTGGTTTTGAGCTCTGAGACTCATTCCTCTCTCCTGTTCTCTCTCTCCACAAAATTGGGGCTTTCGTCTTGAGAAGGGTACTGCAGACAGTGTGGTGATAGACACAGACTGATGATCAAAAATCTCAGCAGGGTTGACTTGTGTTTGCAGCCCTCGGCCATCAGATGAGGCTCTTCAGCTGATGTTTGAAGAGTGCGAAACTGCTTCAATCGATGAGAACCACTCCAAATCAAACGCACATGCTAATACGTCTCGCCCCCAACAACTACACATCTGACTGCAATATTGTTATGTTACATCATAATAAGTTTTTGTGTGTATATATATATATATACGTATGTCTTTGTGTGAATGTGTGTGGGCTGAATACAAAGGGTAGATCTCAGAGGAGAGAGCAGGTATGAGTAAGAGCAAGTGTTTGCTTAGTTGTCCTGACAACAGCACTTACTTGACCTGTGCCTCAGCCTGCATGAAGATGAACTCCCACTTTCTGGCAAAAGCCCTCTGTAGTCTCGCTAGATTCTCCTGAATGAAAGAGACAGAGATCAACTTGAGTGTCACATGATCCTTCAGGAATCAGTCCTAATCTGGTGATTTGAAAACAATGTAGAATTTTTTTTTTCCAGTACATTTTTGATGAATAGGAACAGCATTTATCTGAAATAAAAAGCTTTTGTACCATTATAAATGTCTTTACTGTCACTTTTTTTTTATCAATTTCAAGGGGTGGTAAAGAATGATTTCACTTTTATAACTTTAATTTGTATGTAATGTTGCTGTTTGAGCATAAACAACATTATCAAAGTTACAACGCTCAAAGTTCAAAGCAAAGGAAGATATTTGCTTTTAAAGAAAAGGACTACAACAAACGGCTGGTAGGGATTATACAACATTTCTCCAGGGTTACGGACATCACCAACCCTAAAATGTGCATAAACCGGGGACACGCAGTCTATGTTGAGAAGAGGAAGAGTGGTTGTATAAGAGTACATTTGTGAGTCAGCTCAACTTTAGCATCCATCTTTTCACATGCAATAGAAAGTCACTCTGTGTGCATCTCACAACAGTTCCTATAAGAGGAAATTGCAGCTGTTAACATAGGAGCTCTTGAAACCCCGCCCTTTGGAGCAGCTCATTTGCATTTAAAGGGCCAGGCACAAAACGGTGCGTTTTTGCAAACCCTCAAAAAGTGACAAATTTAACACGCTATATAAAAATATCTGTAGGGTATTTTGTGCTAAAACTTCACACACACACTCTGAGGACGTCAGAGATTTATTTTATTCTTGTGAAGATGGCATTTTACCACCTCCTTTAATGCATCCTTGCTGAATAAAAGTATTTATTTCTTTAAAAAACTATCTTACTGATCTCAAACTTTTGAACAGTAGTGTATAATAATACAAAATATTTCTTATAGCAGCTGTTTTGACAGAGCCCAATATATTTCGCAAGACTCTTAAAAGCATAAAATTGATTATTTTCCCTCTTTGACATCACAGCTCAGGATACTCTGTGACTGTCACTTCAAGTAATTTATGCATTTATGGTTGAGTATATTGTCTCAAAACAATCTACAAATGGCGTACATATCGCTATCTCAGTACATTAAGCTATGGAGGAGAAAGTATCATTGAAAAAAATGACACCCTTCAAGTTTAATGCTCAACGACAAGGGCTCACAATCAGTGCGTTCAGGTCTAAAAGCAACTCGACATATCTGCCAATAACCACAAGAATCCAAACTGAAATGCTCCTATGCTGGCAAAACACACTGCTTCCATTTTCTCTGTCGGCTGTCACCGCAGTGGCTCACTTACCGCCTCATAGTCCGCCAGCTCCAGCCGGGTCTTGTTCTGCATGGTCCGCTTGCACAGATAGATGGCTGTGACAGGGGATAGAAAGGGGGGAGAGAGAGACAGACAGACAGAGACGAGAAAAACAGACAAGAGGTCATGAGAGATTTGGCCTTATCAACCGTCATGTATAATCCCGCCCCTACAAACACATCCAGCATAAGACCTTGATTGGATTTTGTGCTTTCTCTGCATCTATCATCTCTGCTTGGCCAGTTTACAGACAGTAGGCACTGTGAATGAGTCACCATTGACCATCAGTAAACATCTGCCCACAGTCATCTTCTCATTCTCAAACACCTACTGATCTGCAGTTCTCCCTCACTGTTCAACAGAGCTGTAATAATCCTGAGAAAGCAGACTGTGGGCTGAGGACGGGGTGTTCAGTGTTATGAGTTATATTAGCTCTCTGAAAAACATGTACGGTAAGGCTTGGTGTGCTCTTACGTCATTGGGAGTCTGCCCAGCAGGGTCCCTCTCTTACCATAGTCTGTGTTCTCTGGTTCCCAGCAATTAGAGGGCCAAAAGTATGGAGCCTGGGTGAGAGAGAGAGAGAGAGAGAGAGAGAGAGAGAGAGAGAGAGAGAGAGAGAGAGAGAGAGATTAGTAGGCAGAATTCCTGAGTATGAGCTTGATCTTTTTATTTGAAGTACACAGAGAATCTATTCTGAACCTGGAATCTTGAATATTCTCACAAAATATATAATACATCAACCTGAGCTGACGGTCACATTTATGCATTTGGCAGACGATTTTATCCAAAGTGACTTGCATTGCATTTCAAGGTACACATTTACATTCTTATCAGTTGTTGTTGCTTTCCATGGGAATCAAACCTATGACCTTGGCGCTGCAAGTGTCAACACTCTACTGTTTGAGCTACAGGAAATCAATTTCTATTAATAAAAAAAAATATTTTGAATACCAGAGGTCAATATGGTGGTCTTTGAACATTATGTTTGAAAGTGAGGGGCCTTTGAGTCAAACGGGTTAAGAACCGCTGATCTAGAACATTTCTGAATATTCAGATGAAGCGATTACTGAAGGATTGTCAGTTACTACTTCACTGATTTACTTGGATTTTGTTTTAAATCAGGTGAGTTTGAAAGAACTAAGAATTTCTTGTCTGCTACTGTACCTACTAGCCAAAGTTGATGGTGAAATGATGATTCTGCTTTGCGCAGATATTATATAAAGATATTCATGTTATGAAAGCCATTAACAACATTTCTACCAACTGAACTAACTCTCTCGCCTTCGTGGAGCCACTCAAATAGACTACAGGCGGCAAAAGATCATTATTGTCAAGCAATGAGCTGATGAGCCATACTACCAGGAAACAGAGAAACACTGAGTAATTAATGAATGTACAAAATAAACTCAGGTCCCACTTTATATTAAGTGGCTTTAAGTACTATGTTACATCGAAAAATATGTACAATGTACTCATTGTGTTCAGGTTGTTTTGTAAAACTCTTTTTCTGCTATTGAGGTCTGATTCAGGTAAGGTTAGGGTCAGGTGTGTGTGGTATGGGTCGGTTTAAGGGTAGGTTAAGGTGTACAACAGTGTAATTACAAATGTAATTGCATAAATTAATTACAGATGTAATTATATGCAGGTATTTTCAAAATATAAGTACAATGTGAAAACATGTATGTACACAATAAGTCCATTGTATCAAATTATTCATTTCATTGTAAGTGCATAATACTTAAAGCCACTTATTCATTAATTGGCTTATTGATACTGTATCATGCTTTGTCATTATCTGAGAATTTAGCTTTTCCTCTAAAAATTTTGAGGGTTGAATTTAATACATTTATTTAAAACATGGATACTTTGGTACTTTAACTGTGTATTGTTGATGTTGAGCAATTTTTTTTTTGCCAAGGGGTGGCAGTCAAAGGACTACAGTGTTACTCCAGTAAAACATCCTGTAAAAATAGCAAAAATGTTAAATATGAGAATTATAATTATAAATGTTTTTTACTGTCACTTTTGATCCATTTAATGTGTCCTTGGTGACTAAAACTATAAAGTGTTATGAAGTCTACATGTATACACAACACAATATGTTAAATAAATCTTGTTAATATACCGCCTGACCTATGCTGTCAATAATGAAGAGCTTCATAAGGCGGCTGCACTGATCAAACACAATCCTATTTGTTCAGCAGGTGTAAAGGTCAGTGGAGCTTCTTCATTGTGTTTTTCACACAGTAGATTCAGAATCTCAGCAGTGCTTAAGTGAAACAAGATCACATCCTGGAAACCACAGCTGCCAGGATACAATCCACATGATACTTATTTGGTTAATGGTAGACAGATAAGCTCACCTGAAAGCGGTAAAATGTCCCATCATCCTTGAGGGTGAGAACATGATCAGAGATGGGGAATATGTAGCCTTGGGCAGCGATCAGGCTGCCGATGTGTATGGCCTCCACTGTCAATACAGAAATGAAAGATTTACTCCCAACCTATTGCAGTCATGAATAAGATGTGTATCTTTCTTCAGATCAGGACCTACCAGGATCATCTATGTTGAGATTCTTCATCATCCACTGAACAATGTCTGAACCTGAAGTTTAAAAAGGGGAAACAGATCACCTTCTTTCCACATGCATTCACTTCTCAAAGCATTGATATCAAGACAAAATCACCACAGTGGATTATAATTCAGTGCATGTCAGATCAGTCAAGCTAAATCTACATGAGCACCACCTCAATCATGTACAACATAACGTTTTAGTTCCAAATAAGCTATTAGTTAACCGAGCCTGCGGGCATCCATTTAGAGCCGCTCACTGTAGTAAATGTGTTTAGCGATGTGAGCAGATCAAGCCATATCTTCAAGTTTATTCTCTTCAAGGGCTTTTAAGAACAAATAACTGCTCTCCCAGTATTTATTATCATTAGGAAACTGTGAAAGTTAAAGTGGTTAGTTGGATCGGTGGAGACCACGGGGCATGTGGCTCCGTATCTATCACTGAATTTACCCTCTGATTTGTGAAATGCCCGGGCAAACAGAAACTCAGCACAACCCTGTGTATATTTTATCAGCACAGACATTGATATACATTCTTTTTAAAATGCATCAACAACTTAGATGAACAAGAAAATTGCTATTTAAAAAGTTACACTCAGTAACTTTTTTCTCATTAAAAAGTTAACCCAACTGAAATGAATAATACTTTTGAAATAAATATTTAAATCATGTACATTCACAATCGCTTGCAGAATAACAATCATGCCGGACTGCTAATAATAATTCTGATAGCATACAAGAAGTCCCCAGTTAAAATAGAAAATCACAAAAACAAAAGGCTGAAAAAGACACATTTTTGGGGAGAACTAAAGCAAGTAAGCTTGTGAAATGAAATGACTTAAAACCAATATTAACTATCTCCACATTAGCACTCATATATTGACTATTTTTACAGAAAATATTGATTAGAAAATATTCAAAAGTGTGACGTACACATCAATTGCTACAGTTAAAATGTATTGCATTTTCTCATACATACTTTATAACAACGACTATTGAAAAACCCACAACACTGTAGGCACGTCACCATTGACATCGATCAAATAACACACCAGTTTAGACACAAACTGTTCCACCCATATTCTTGCCAGTATACCTGTAACAACGCTGGGAATCTTGGACAGGAAGCTCTTGACCGTTCTGACTGGCACACCTTCAGTTTCATCTTGGAGGCGTGTGATAATGTCCTCAATCTACAGGACGAGAGAAGAAAGAATCTGTCTAGTTAGTTTGGCAGACTCACATCTCATACTGTAGCCACAGTCTAAATCTGCTTCACTTTTATTTCAGTTGCCTATATTGACAGGAATTAACTGAAGACTTTCCACACAGTCTATTTTTTGCTGTATACATGTTCAATTCAGTAGAGAATACAAACACAATGATTTGTGCATCTATTTATCAACACCATTAATTTGTGTTATTTTTCAATAGCTCACTCCTAATAACCATTAAATACATTACCAGTCAACAGTTTGGAATAATTCAGAGATTTGTTTGTTTTTGAGACTAGTCTTTAATGCTTGCCAATTAAAATTGCCAGTTTACCAGTAATTGTGAAATATTAATACAAATTAAAAGTGGTTTCTATTTAAATAGATTTTGAAATGTAATTTATTTCTGTGAGAAATATTTCTGGAGGATCATGTGACATTGAAGACTGGAGTAATGTATTTTAATATATATATAAAAATGTATTAAAACAGTCCTTTTAAATTGTAATGCGCTCATAGTGTGATTCATGGCTGATATTAAAGGAAATACTCAATGTAGTAAACCAGTAATCAGCTGTTTCACACCAGAAAGCTGTCACTTTGAATGCACAGTGTTTCATTTTAAGTCTGCCAATTGGGTTAATTGGTAATTTTACAGTTTGTTTTTTTCCAAGGAATGTGCACCACATTCTGACCAACCTGTCAATCATAACAAGTGTAAATACATCCACCTACATCTACTGCTCACAATACTAAATGCATCAAGTACCTAATGCACACAAAGCATGGGCCAAATGTATTCATTCTGTTTTTATTCCCCAAATCCTGTAAAGCCACAGAAATGATCCCTTCCCTTGTGATGGGAACATCTGTTCTCATTCCTCTCTGGATACGCAGGCGCGTCTAAGCAGAGGCCTTTCGAATACACAAGCTTGCACCTACAGTCTATAAATAATCCCGGCACTGATGAAAACAGCTAATAGTTTTGCAGGAGAGAGGGAGCATAATGAGATTAGGTAGCGTTCGCCGTTCTCTGCTTGGATATTGCATGTTGTCATGACCGTTCTGTGGCGCTCAACCCTCTTTTATTGCACGTGCCGTGTAGGAGGCAAGATCTCGGTTGCTTTTAATGCATACGGTAGCTATATATAAACATTCAAAGCCACCTCCGACAACACGACGCTGCTAAAATAAAGCAAGGCCACTTCACTTCAAGTATAAAAAGAGGGTGCGTACATCATCAGCCATGCCAAACAAAACATACAGCTGTGCTACATGAGGACTTGCCCTCATTTTCCAAAAAAACACTCTAGTCATTCCATCCATTACCACATGAGACTAATTTCCCCTCTCTGCCCATAAAAAGCACTTCACTTCGTTTAATGCTCTCTATCAAGTGGCTAAAACATGAGTCTATGGTGCAAACTATTCTAAACGGGTCGATGAGTGTTGGCCTGAGTCCCATGAGAGATTCTGGCTGTAGTCAAAACGGACAGCAGTGCGAGCCAGACTGTCCACCTCTAAACCCAGCGGCAAAAAAGGAAGACAAAGCAAAGTGATCTGTTTAACACTCAAATCAATAGAGATAAAATGCTACATTGTGTTTAGTGGGCAAAATGGCTTCTATCCAACAGCCTAACACCTTCCAGGCCCACTAATTTGTCAATATTCAAAGTTTAAATAAGAAAAAGTAGAGCTGGATAATGGACCAGATGACCATTAGGGTCCCCTGGCCTTTTATACAGTGTGATTTGACCAGTAGGACCCCGAGCCCCAGCTTCTACCTTTAGGGTCCATTCACAGAGAACATTAAAAGACGCAAGGCACTGAGCTGTACAGAAAAGGATATGATTTTTTTTTTGTTTGTTTTGAGTATAATTTAATTTGATGGCCACTTTTTTTGTTTTGTTTTATTTTATAATAATGATTTCTAAAGGCTCATGTGACACTGAAGATTGGAGTAATGGCTTCTGAAAATTCAGCTTTGAAAAGCATTTCATGCACGAAACTGCAAAAGATGCAAGTGCAATGGTCAAACACATTCATCTAGAGCATGTTTACATCAAAAAAATATAAAAAAGCAACATAGTGGAATGTAAAAAACATGTTCTGTGTGAGCAGCATTTTAGTCATCAAATATTTATTCTAACAAAACATTTTCTTTTATCACCCCTATTTAAAGTAGGATGGTCTGTTATGGAGACCATCCCAAATAAAGAGAGAGTGATTTTGAGCAAATTCGCACTAGTCATCATGGTGAAGCTGTGTATCCTTCCTTAATGAGAGCGAGTGCCATTAAATGAACTTAGCGGATGCCATGTCTTATCTCTCTGAAAGACGCTCTTCACCCGGCCTCATGCTGGGTTGTCATTCTATTTCAGTACAATCAGCAGCACTCACTAGAGAGCTCTTTTTGGGATGAGCCCTTGTGTTGGTACATCCCAAAAAGCACTTACATATGTCATATTCTGTCAAAACACTGTGCCGAGTTCTTATTAGGTTATCACATTACTGTCCCCCTCAGAGGCCACCGCAGCGTGTGTTAAATGTTGCAATTAGCATTCTTGCTTGAAGCAGCCTCCAGTTCAGGAAGTGCCAGTAAACATTTTCCAAAGAAAAATTACAAGCCCTGGCACATTACTTCACAAGTTCATTTAAAAAAGAAAAAACTATTCAACTGGGAGAGCAAATGAGGTGTTCAGTTACTGCACATTCTAGTGAAAATCATTGCCATACAATAATGTCCTATGTAAGAATACAGTATATTGCTAATAGACATTTTTATTTAGAGAAATATATTTACATATACTGTAGTTACTAATGCATTTTCATGAATAAGTATGGTTAGTATAGGTATAGATAAGTATAGTTAGTTGCATAAGTATAGTTAGTTGCATAAGTATAGTTACATATGCATCATGCATTTTCAGTCATTTTTATATATTTTCAGTTTAAATATATTTACACTACCATTCAAACGTTTGGGGTTGCAAGTATGCATTCAATTAATCAAAAGTGACGGTAAAGAATTGTACATTTTTACACAAAAAAAAAATCTATTTAAAAAAAATGCTGCTTTTGAACTCAAAAAATTCCTGAAAAAACACATTAATTCTAAAAAAATATGAAGCAGTGCTGTTTTCAATGCTTCTTGAGCACCAAATTAACATAGAATGATTTCTGAAGGATCATGCGACACTGAAGACTGGAGTAATGATGCTAAAAATTCAGCTTTACGATTACAGGAATTAAATATATTTTAAGTACTACCGTATTTCACCATATTACTGTTTTTACAATATTTTTGATCAAATAAATGCAGCCTTAGTGACCATAATTGATCTCTTCAGTGTACAGTATATTGTCCAAAATATATTTTAAGATTGGATTCAAAAGTTTTAATGATGATTTTAATGTAAGGGATAATCCACTAGCTGTGCATTTAACCATTTTAATACATGACGTAGAGGCAAAGAGCCGCCCAACACGGAGTACATTCAAATCATTTAATGCGCAGCTAGACGTGAATTAATATCCCATTTATACCATGGTACATGTTAAAGCTGTCATTGACATTTGCAGAGCTAAATTTGACTGTAAGGGTTAAAATGATGGTTATTTTCGTAGGTTATCACTCCTTAGATCTAGCATTGTATTCACTTTAAATCAGACACATAGTGCAGTAAAGTAACATTTATTTGATCTAATTATTACATTTATGTAAATGAATTAGCCTACTGAGAGAGAGAGAGAGCTGTGTGTGAATTACCTGTGTCTGTGCAGTGTCTCTCTACCATGAAGCTGTGTGTTTAATTACTACAAAAAACAGCGACATTATAACCTTCTTGCTAAGCAATATAATGTAGTGATTCAGTAGCAAATGTAATTTATTAATAAATGTCAAGGGGCAGCGGTAACAAGTTTCAGTGCTTCTGAATGTGCGACTTTATTGTTGAAATGCTTGTGGTCTCTGTGGAATGAAGTGAAGTGTTTTTAGTGTAATACTATTCTGTCGTCTGTGACAACAATATCTCAAATCTTTTTACAGCCGATTATCAACGAGGACATTTAAAAGAGGCGCATTGATTGGACTCCTGACAGTAACAATCGAGTGAGGGTAAAGCAACAGTCACTTTTCTAATGAAAATTTCTTTAATCGGGGAATGTTCACTCTGGCTTTCTTGAGTACTAAATAAACACATTATATTGAGGAAAACACTTAAACAGGTATAGACCGTATTCGTTTAAACACAACCATGTTGATGATGACATACTATTAAAAAAAAAAGACTTGTATCGCTGTCTTTGAGGGATTTGAATGAGCAACAGCGGCATATGTGGGTGGTTACATATCGTTTCACTCGTAAGAGCCCTTTCTCAATCAAGCCCATCTTTCAAACTTGATTACAGCAAGTCACTGTACCCTGCATGTGAATGGCACTCTTACTGAGGAGAAGAGAGAAAACTAGGACAGATTTCCCTCAAGAGGCAAGGTCATTTCTGAAGCAAAGTAGATGGTGGAAAAGCATCTTCTAGGGCTCTTGCTTGTCTTGCTTGCCAGGTAAATCCATGAAATTAAACAAGGCACTTATGAGATGCATCAAGGTTGGGCTTTGTAGCTAAGCAGCATGAGTTAGTTTGTGAGACAGGTTAGTGTTGCCATAGATAACAGCATGGGAAGCACTCTTGATGATAATACCTTTGCAGCATCCTGTGGCTCATCTGCTCAGTCCCTGCAGGAGATATGTGAACAATCGATGCTGTTGATTTTCCACAGCCAGGTCCTGATGAATGACACTCAACCACGTCTACCCGAGGCGCATACTGACGTGACAAGCATTTCTCATACTCAGAGGTGGTGTTATGACTGCTCCAAACCCCAAAGCGAGACAATAATGAGTTCTGAAACGTGGTCGAAAGATGCCCATAAAGAGGTTAATTGGAAAAGGCTTTTTGCAGTAAGAAAATTGAACATAAGC